ATTGATTTTATAAAATCCATCTCATCTTAAAGAGCTTATTATGCTACTAGAGCACTACGCTCCCAGAATGCAGGGTTACTATTATAACCCAGGAGAGCAATTTTTTGTCAGGTTATGTTACTGATCAATCTGACGAAATGTTTAGACTTCCGACAGTTTGCCTGCTGCTGATTGTGCAGGACAGCCGCTGATTTTACAATATATTAGCATCAGTAGCTTGTGACTTAGTTTCTTGCTAAAACCTATGTTCGCTGCTACGTCTGCAAAGTAAGATAAAGTCAAAGTAAGCATTAGTGCCAACTTTGGTCAAGTGAATTCCTGACAAAACTTATGACTAATGAATTTGATGGCAGCACATTGTGTGTGTAGGCCTCATTTACACACATCGTAGGTGAACAATTCCAGCTATTAAAATGACATCATCTGTATTTGATACTTGATACTGCCGCAGGAAGGTGCAGACACATTAGCATCAGTCTCTGAGAACATTTGATCTTTCTCCCGTTCACTTCAGTTGAAGCCCTAACTATGAATTGAGGAATGTGTTGCTGTTTTTCAGCTCTGGCGGACTGCGGACCAAATTGATCAGCCAGTAAAAACAAACAGTGATGCACTGTGTTTAGAAATCACTCTTAGATAGTCAACTGTCACCACATGACATGTAACATCACGTCCTTTTATGAGGCTTAATGTGGGGCAATTCAAAGCTAGTGAGACTGTACCTTTACAGGAGTCATTAAGGTCAGAGGTCATGCTGAGCTATAGAGAACAGCAGCCCTTCAACAAGCAGAGATCTTGGATGCAGTTAAAGCTCCAGTTTTTAAAAAAAAACGTTTTACATATTTGTTAAAACTGTCACTATTTCAGCAGCACTCGGTTATAATTTAACTTTCAACCCTTCTGCGTCTCTCTTTGCTGCTTGTATCACTCCGCTAAGCCCGTCACACCAAAGCCACAAGAAGGAGCCAGTTGCCTTTCGAAACTTCATCCCAAGTAGGGCTCGCTCTGCACGGCGGGAGTATCGCCAAGACCGCGGCCCCTCCTCACATCGACTCATCTCAAACACATCCCTCCAACGCTTTGCAGCTCAGGTCAGAGCGCCCCAGGTTTCAGAGGCTACTTCACCACTGTGCCCCTCAAAAGTTATTCTCCAATGTTTGTGGCATCTCCCTCTCCATCTGTGTGCATTCTTATCCCATTAATGCATTTTACTAACTCGACTTCTTCCCTCTCTTGTAGTTTACAGTTACAGTTGTTTTACTTTTCTGTGTAGATATTGCATTGGGCTGTGTCTAGACCTGCTCTATGAAAAGTGCAACGCGATAACTTCTGTTGTGAATTGGCCCTATTTAAATTAAATTGAATGTAATTGAACAGGTTGACCTCGAAGCCCGGCGTGTTGTGTAGTGTGTAGCACTGTATACACTGTTGTTGGAAAAGGAGGAATGGGCAGTTATTTCACTGCTGCTGGTTGTTTCTCAGACGTTGCACTGCAGATAAGGAGCTTAACTGAGAACATGGAGGGGGGCTGCACAGCGTGTGCACGAGCAGTGATTGACACTGCGTTAAGAGACTGAGCCTGGCTCTGAGTGGTTGTTTTGACCCAGGAGTGGTGGATTCAGTGGAGCAGTAAGAGGAGCAAGAAAAAACCTGCTTTTTACACAGATTAGCTGTTAAGATATACTGATTTCAGCAAATATGCCAAAAACTCATTATTAAAAGAATTCCCTGCTGCAGCTTTAAGGGACACCTCAGCGGGGCTGATACTGAACACAGAGATCAGGACTTGAGCTCAAGAACAACCACTCTAACCAATGGGTCTCCCAGATATGTTGCTTTACAGTAAGTGAAGTGCATGAACCAATATTTTAATATTTTGTTTTGTGCTGTGTTTACACTTCTAAAAAGCTTTTAAAAGGTTTAAGTAGTTTTGTTACCATTGTAGTTCCATTAAGGGTCAGTGGTGACAACAATAGGGTCCAACATTTGTGTCTCAAAAATCATGGATAACAAACATGCGATGAAACGCAAAGGTGGTGTTGAAAAGTTGAAGGAGGGAAAAAAAGTCACTAGAGGGAGGTTCAGCAAAGCACCTTAAAATGACAGACTTTTCTTTTGGTGCTACTTCTACTGCTGCCAGTGGAGACGTCATACTAACATCCTAACATTATGTACTAATATTAAACACTACCATTATAATGTTTTCCTGGTAAATTACTCAATTCAAAAGCAACAAATACATGTACATCAGTACTGTTGACTCTTGCCATACATTTTCCATGCATTTTGTATCAGCAGAGTGAGGCCAGTGAGTTTCTGCAGCAATAAATAAAGACATGTACTAGTCACAAGCTTGAGAGTTTGTGTATTGGTATTATTTTATCTATTATAAGTGCAGATAGAAAATAAATTTCAAACACGTTTATATGATAATGGCCTATAGAGGCCTGTTGTTGACCTCTAGTGGTTGATTTTGGGTACAGGCAGTAAAATTTGTGTCTTGCCTGGCTCTTGCAAATTGGTGGGTCCAAATTTTTATTGCATCAATTCTCTCTTGACATTTAAATCATGGGTGCATGGTCCGGACAGCTACTAGTCAGGGTTCATCTGAGAGCTAAATATATGTTTCTTGTTTTGAAAATGCATTTAAATTGCTCATTTTGTGAAGTACTGTGCTTGAATAAAATTCTCAAGAATGCAGGAATAAAGGTTTGTAAAGACCCAGCAACACCAACAAATGCTTAGTCTGGAGAGTGGACTGACCAGAGACAAATTCCCGCCCCAGTCTGCACTGGGTAAGTTTTTATGTCGATTTGTTCAAATCACATTCACAGATGGGTTGTCACTAACACAGTTTTGCAAAGGTTATTGATTACCTGCCTTTCCCCTCTGATGTGATGCCTTTCCCTGAACATACAGAATGTGCATTTTAGAAGTCAAGTGATATTTGTAAATGAAATGTGAATTTCTAATGAATAACAGTGCTGGACAGTAGCATGGACAGTAGTACTTAAGTACACATTAGAGGTATTTGTACTTTACTTGAGTATTTTCATGCAGCTTTCTACTTCTGTTCCACTACCTCTCAGAGGGAGATATTGTACTTTTTACTGCACTACATTTGTCTGACCACTTTAATCACTAGTTACTTTTTAAGATTACGATCTTTCATACCTTTCCTGTCCATTGAAAACCATGTATCTCCAAATGTGTTGATTTTGAATATGAATTTTTTCTGATAAACTGAAGGATAAAGTTTTTCCTTTAAGAGTTGAGAAAATTATCTTACTTCTTAATCTAAATAAACTTTTAAATCTGACCTTAGATCAGCTGGAAACAGGGCTGTTTTTCTGGGCTCATGAATAGTTGACTTTAGAGAAACATGGTTCTCACAGAACAGCGATGCTACAAACACATGATGAGGTAAACATAGGTGCATATATGTGCACTGATATAGGTACATGTATGTACGGATATAGGTACACATATATGCATATATGTACATATAATATAGGAAAACGGCCAATTTTATATATGTCACATATATTAAAAACCTATATCAAAACCTATATTAAAACATATATGTTTATATAGGTTCTTTCCATGTGGGTGTTGCACAAACTGCTCAGAATTATGGATAACGCTTCTCATCCTCTGCACAAACAACCGGTCAGACAACAAAGTATCTTCAGTCTGAGACTCCTTTTAACATACCTCATGCGTGTTTTGTGTAAGTTGCCTATCTAAATATATATATATATAGACATCTCGTTAATCCAAAAACATACAAGTAAAACACTGACAGGGAACATTTACTGCACTATGAGTACTTTTACCTTTTGGTACTTTTAAGTCCATTCTGCTGATAATACTTACATAGTTTTTTACTTTAGTAACATTTTGAATGTGGTGGAGTATTTTTTCAGTGCGATATTATTACTTTCATTTAAGTGAATGATTTGAATACTTCATGGTATTGGTACATGGTGCCATGGCTGACCGTGACAAAGTGTACACACACTTGCACCCTCAGCAGTGTTTTAGGTGTTACTCCAAAGGATGGCAGCTTAACTGCAACAACTGACATAAATAGCCTATACGTTAGCCTACTAGTGTATCCCTCAAGCAACATCAGTTGGTGGGTTACATTTCCAAATGTTCTGGCATTTTTACCTTAACTTTTATGCAGAGAAGATGACTTTATGAGAGTCTTTACTGCGCAGCTACCTAATAGGCCTAACATATTTCTACATCAATGTACATGCAGAACAGGTTTTACTATATGATCGTATATGTATTATTTTAATTTAAATACATGCAAATAGGATAGTTTTTCTAGGTGGAGATCGGAAATATCCGAGTTCCAAGTTGCCTGGAACGCAGCATTAGTTTGTTCCCTTTTACTAGGGTTATTACGGTAGTGGCACGCTGACCACGCCCCCTCCGTTCACCACTGTCCATCCAGGAAAAATAGTGCACCACAGTGCAAACTGCCCTCTTGTTGTTGTGACTGACCGGAGACACAACTGACAGGTGCGTGGGAATATATACATTTAAACATGTTTCTGCATTGTCGTGTAAGTATTGAAGCTAGAGGCGGTCGGAAGATAAATGAACTTACAAGCTAACGTTACGTTAACGTACGTTAGCTAGCTGACGTTAAATGTAGCCGTAACTGTAACTCTATAAGTTTTACTAAATTAACGCCTTCTCTTGTTGCGCTCGATTGTGCAGCTTTGCATCCTAATATGGGAAAATACAGCCGCCAGTTGTTTCCAGACAACGAATGTCAAAAGTCTTGGTTTTAACGTCACCTTGCGTAATGACGATCAAACCCATTCTTACGTTCGACACCAGCATGACCTTCAGTGCAATACTTGCTTTAGTAAAATTACAACCAGAAGGCACCGCACACCTGCTGGGTGTTGTGGTGGGGGTACTAAATGAAACACAAGTTAAATATGTTGCTTTCTTAAATATGTTGCCATCGGTAAAAACCGAATTGTTAAATGGTTACTGAAAATCTGTGGCTTCGCGTTATGTTACATGGGGGATAACGAGACGCTAGGCAACATTAAACTGCCTCTTTTTTGAATGGAGTCTGGTCGCAAACGGGACGTTAGCGTTGCAGGTTCCTGCATCACAGTGGCGATTATTATCTACCGTCGTCTCGATGTGATGGTACGTTTGTCAGTCTGTGTGTCTCATCGAGCCGAAACGAGGTGGGAACAGTTTTATAAATAGAAAGTGTGACATTAACAGCAGGATTCTTGACCTTGTTGGGGCGAAGCTCTGCGCATTCCCGAGTCAGGGGTCACTGACTCTGGATGCGTTAACCTGCTCCACTTGTTACACAACTGAACCCAAAAACCCAAAGCTTTCAGGAGTTTGGTCCTACGTGCAAGTCTGTAGTAACAGAACAAACTGTCATCTGTTAGTTGTGGATGTCATCTCACAATCCAGAGGCTAAAATAGTCAGTAATAGATTCTGATTACTGAAGTAAAAGTTGTTACCCCACTACAAAAATCCTCCATAACAAGTAGAGCTGCAACAATTAGTTGATTAATCGATTAACTTAGTTGTCAACTATTAAATTAATTGCCAACTATATTGATAAAACGTCCAAATTCTCTGATTTTTGCTTCTTGAATGTGAATATTTTCTGGTTTCAATTATTAAATTAATCTCCAAATATTTTGATAATCAGTTAATTGCTTTGAGTTCTTTTTAAAGGGAAAAAAATGTCCAAATTCAATGTTTTCAGCGTCTTGAATGTGAATATTTTCTGGTTTCAATTATTAAATTAATCTCCAAATATTTTAATAATCAGTTAATCGCTTTGAGTTCTTTTTAAAGGGGAAAAAAATGTCCAAATTCATTGTTTTCAGCTTTTTAAATGTGAATATTTTCTGGTTTCTTTACTCCTCTTTGACAGTAAACTGAATGTACTGTGGACAAAAAAAGGCATTTGAGGATATCATCTTGGGCTTTGAGAAACACTGATCATCATTATTTAAAATTTTTTGGTCCAAACAACTTATCCAATAATTGAGAAAACAATCAACTGATTAATTGATAAAGAAAATTACAGTTAGTTTTTCCCTAATAACAATTAAGTTAAACTGCACAAATATCAACAACATTTACTAATAGTATCAAAAGTAAAACTCATTATTAGGGGTGTGAGATCAAATTGTGACGGGAATTCTTGTCAGGTAAATAACTCGCAAGACTTTTTTTTACATGCTGTCAAGCCACACATTCATTTTCTCACGCAGTGAAATACAAATGTACAACTGATAAGTTAAACTCGCGGAGTTAATCAACTCCGCCCAGCTGATTGACACCGGCGTACGCTGTGTTAGGAATCCAGGAACCCACTCGCGCTGTGAGTCCAGACAGCTGTGACGAGTGGTAATGTAGGCCTAGCTGGTAGAGTTTTGCAACATAAACATCTAAAAACTGAAGCAACCTTGCTCTGTTTGGGACTGTGAGCTGCACTTTATCAGAGCTGCTGAAGTTTACGTGTTTCACATGCAGCATGTAGTCCCAAATTGCGTCGGTCAAACGGTCTGAAGGGTCACTGAAACGGTCAATAACGTAATGCACAGCAGAGTAAAGTGCATTAGTCTGGTAATATTAGGACTTTTGTCAGAGAACAGATATGTGGGAGAGATTCTGAAGGTGCAGAATGTTTTGACCATGAGCAGAAAAGCTGCTGAAACACAGGAGCCTTTAAAGTCCAGGAGTTTATAACTAAATTAAAATGTAATAATTTATCCTTGAGGTGAAAAGGTGCCACAGTCACATTTAAAGAGGTTACTTCCCCAAACAAAAGACACAAAGAGGAGGGAAGACTAAACCATGACTCAGCAGGGAGGATATTACATAAGTTGATCTACAGGAGAAACAGATCTGAGAGCTGCACTGAATTATATTCTGTTGTAGTTACGCTATAGATTTTGAATCATCACCTGAATTTTGTGTTTCTCTTTGCGCAAAAAAAAAAAAAAAAATCACAATAAACTGGAGTAGAAAAAAATCATAAGAATGCAGGAAATAAATAATTAAAAAATAGTGTTAAAATCACGTCTCGATATCGTGAACCCAATCTCATCTCGTCTCGTGGGTTATGTGTCTCGTCACACCCCTACTCATTATGCATAATGGTCTTTTTCAGAATCTTATATGATTGTGTTATCATATCACTAATGCATTAATATGGATTTATAACATGCAATTAAGCAACATTATAACTGTGTCTTTGGTAGGGCTGCTACTAATTATTATTGTTATAATGTGTCGATTACTTTCTTGATTAATTGATAAGTTGTTTGGTCTATAAAATGTCAGAAAATGGTGAATAATGTCGATCGGTGTTTCCCAAAGCCCAAGGTGACGTCCTTAAATGTCTTGTTTTGTTCACAAGGTATAAGGTACAAAATAAAATATGGTAACATGTAAAATAAAACAATACAGTTATTTAAATACATATACATAGACGTATAACTTATACCCCAAATATTTCACAGTGCATTTTTTGAATTTGCATGGGGTGAATGTAAACAGCAGCAAACAGATGACAGTATGAAAGTTTCATCTTCACAATAAACAGTCTGACATTTGGGAAACAGAGTCCATCTTGACTGCGTTTGAGTCCTCCTCCTCTCATCTTGCCTGTCTTGCGCTGGCAGCTTGGAACATGGACCAGCTGCCGATCTTGTTTCCTCTCCTCTGAGCGATCGCCTCACCCGCCGTGGTGCCTGCTGCCCACGTCTTCATCTTCCAATGACTGTACTTATGTCAGAGGTAACACATGTTTTGGCAATAAAGCCAGAAAAAAACTGATAAAAAAACAAAAGTGTAGTGAAGAAACCAAACAAACCAAAGATATTAAGTTTACTGTCATAGAGGAGTGAAGAAATCAGAAAATATTCACATTTAAGAAGCCAAAATCAGAGAAATTTTAAATTTTCTATTTTTAACTTTTTTAAACTTTTTTAACTCTTAGTTATAATAGTATAGGGTTAATTAATAGTTGATCATTTATTGATTAATCGTTCGAGCTCTAGTATTGGGTAGTTTAATCTATAGCAAAGCACCATATTTTAATACAATATAAAGCACAGTATTTGTAGCAATAGTTTATTTACCTCTGAAATGTAGTGGAGGATGAAAGTTTGAAATAGAAAAAACTCAAGTACAGTATAAGTTTATAATGTGAAAAGACTGCTGCGTAAAAATAGTTACTTTCTGTCGATGCCAGATGTATAAAAAACATAATTTTTTAATTGCAGTGCAGTTAGTAAATTAAGCTGCAAATTTGTTAAATTGTATCCAGTAAAATAAAATGTACATTTGAAGTTTAAATGCTCCAACTTTTGACTTCTGAGGAAAGTTCGTTCCCCAAATCAGTTTATTACAGCAGCTATTGTCTGTTGAACTAAAATAAATACTTCATGTACTTCCTCAAGTTATGTTACAACAGTTTGCACAACGCCAGTTTGCAATATTTGCCAAACTCGTGCCATTTATGCCAGTCATGTACTGTTGATTCATTTCAGCCTGTGAATGCAGGTCATTTTGGTCACTGCATGTTTGTGATATGTTGTTATGATTTCTCAAACATTTTCACTTTGATTTTTTTTATTTAATGCTATTTGGGGGCTGCGCAAGATGGCGCCGATGTAAGACGTTTTTTCGTGCAGCTGACGATGGCTTAGTGCACAAACTGGATTTTAAACCACCCCTTTAAGTGAAAAGTGAAAGCGATGCCATCTGCTCCCTGTCTACGTCTATGGGGGATACTAAGAAGGAGATGAATGGACTTTCTACTAACATAGCGGAGCTGGAGCAGAAGATCATTAACCAAAGAGAAGACTGTGCTGCGAGACGGGGTAAATGACATCGATGCCTACAAGAGAAGGTGGAATTTAAAGATATCGGGTGTCCCAGAACAAGAAAACAAAAACGTCAAGATGACCGTTATCGATTTACTGTCTAGAGTCTCGCCGGGAATCAAAGATGCTCTCCATAACTCCGTGGATGTCGCGCACCGCCTTGGCCCCAAGAACAAAAAGCAACAACAGCAGTCCGACCCAACCGCAACCACGTCGTATTATTGTGCAGTTCTTATCACGCACACACCGGGATCATGTTTGGGCAGATGCAAAACACTCAGAGGTCCTAAAACACAAAAGAATCAAGATCTTGTGGAGCAGGCGAGAAAAAGTCCATTCGCCATCATCGCTGGAAGGAGGATTTCTGCTCAAGATGTGACCTTTCTTTCTGTGACCTTTCCTTCTAGTTCGTCCTTAACTGATAGCAGGAGACAGCCGTCATGTTTCTATGCAATCTTTTGGGTCCTTACGGATAATTTCCGTTTTTCCTTTTTATATTTAACCTTATTTAATTTAGGGTATTCTCATATTGCACGGCTTATTAAGAAAAGTATTCAGTAAGCTTCCCCCTTAAGTTCAATGTCCTCCGTAAGGTTGGAGCATTATAGTTTTTTGCTGTCGTCCTAGGTGGAGTTTGACAGGGGTTTATTATAAATCAGTTTTGCACTTTTTTCCACATCTTCCAAAAATTACATTCTAGAAGAACTTACTTACAAGGTAAATTTATTTGTGTTTTAGTGTTTTAGTGTTATGTCACATTTTTCTCTTTCTTGCTTTTCTCTTAATGTACGAGGGATATGAGAGATTACTAAAAGAAAAGCCTTATTCTTGTTTTGTAAAGCACAAAAAAGGGACATATACTTTTTACAAGAAACACATTCATGTCAGAGAGATGAAACTTTTTGGCGTAATCAGTGGGGGGTAAAGCTCTCTTTTGTCATGGTTCTAGTCATTCAGAGGGCGTTATGACTTTATTTGGTCCTAATTTGGTTCTATAGACTCCATACTCTCTCCTGAAGGTTGATGGATTGTCAGTGCTATTAAAATTAATTATTTAATTATTATTTTAGCTAACATTTACAGTTTTAATAGGACCACCCTCAATATCACACTCCTTCAGGATTTATCTGCCAAGATACTCACTCTAAAAGCTAAGTTTTCTTCTGCCACACTTCACATCATTGGTGACTTTAATAAGGCCCCAGATTTATATATTGACAGGTTTCCCCCTACACGTCTTTTATACTCAAGTAATATCCATCCTGCTCCTCTTACAGACCATGCTGGAATTGATCTTGTCTACCTGTCTACTGCAAACTCCCGAAACTTAATTCCTCTTTTCTGCAACAAGCATCCTTTTGTTCAGGCATTAGGGAAATTATAAATAGCTTCAAAACCAGAAATGACATCTCCTCTATTTCTAAATGGGAACTGTTTAAATTTGAATGTAGAGTTTGGCAAACAATATTCAAAGGTTAAAAAGACAAGAACTTCTAAAATTTTTAAAGAAATAAATGATATTTTAAACATTCCAGCTCCTAATAATGAAGATAAAATAAAATTACACTATTTAAAAGAAGAGCTAAATATGCTTTATATTGAAAAAGCAAAAGGGGCATTTGTCAGATCAAGGTCGAAATGACTGGAATATGGAGCAAAAAATTCATCATACTTTTTTAGTTTGGAAAAGAAGCGTGGCGAAACTAAAAAGATTTCTTCACTAATTGTTAACCAACAGTCTTACTTCTGATGAGAAAACAATCTCAAACTTCATCTCTGAGTTTTATCAAAAACTATATACCTCCTCTTTTGATCCTCATTCTTGACGCTCTTTTTTTGATAAGGTTTATCCATTTATTCCTAAATTAAGAAAACGTTGAAGTATGTGAAAGTCGTTTAACCATTAGTGAACTGGAAGCTGTTATCCATAAAACTCCATCCAATAAAAGCCCTGGTCCTGATGGGTTGCCATTTGAATTTTACAGAACTTTCTGGGAGGACATTAAAGATATGGTTTTGGCTGTTTTTGAGGAATGCATGGAGAAAGGAGAGCTAACTGAATCAATGAAACAAGGCCTCATTGCCCTTATCCCTAAGCCAAAAAAAGACACTCTATATTTAGATAACTGGCGTCCGATATCCTTATTAAATTCAGATTATAAATTACTAGCTTCCCTATATGCCCAAAGACTTAAACCCTGTCTGAGTGAAATAATATCACCAAGCCAGTCTGGATTTATGAAGGATAGACATATTAATAAGTAATAACATCCATTTAATTCTAGACATATTAGATTATTCAGAACTAATTAATGAAGAAGCAGTTGTTCTTTTCTTAGACTTTTACAAGGCCTTCAACACTGTGGAACATTCTTTCATAGTTGAATCTTTGCTTCATTTTGGATTTGGAAAAATCAGAAAGATGGTTAACACGCTTTATAAAAATATCATTAGCAGTGTCCCATTAGTTAGTGGTACTTCACCTCGTTTTAATGTTAAAAGAGGCATAAGACAGGGGTGCCCAATATCCCCATTCTTATTTTTAATTGCTGCTGAATTTATTAATTAATACACTATATATTGCACAAATATTGAAGGAATACAAATAGGTGATAATAACGTAATAATTAGTCAACTAGCGGATGATACCTGTCTCTTTCTAAAAAATGAAGGTCAAGTTCCGATTATATTGGAGGCTTTAAAGTATTTTTCTAAGGCATCAGGTCTTACGATTAACCAGAGTAATTGTGAGATATTAACAGTGCACACTTCTGATAAAACATCCATGAGTGGCATAAAGGTAAAAAATTCAGTGACATTTCTTGGTATTTTAATAGATAAATCCGCATCTGAGAGAGTATCTGATAACTTCTTGCCCAAAATAGAAAAAGCGAAGAAAGTTTTTAGTTGTTGGCTGCAAAGAGACCTCACCATACAAGGTCGAGTATTGTTGTCAAAGGCTGAATGTATTTCAAGAATAGTATACCCTGCCATTTCACTGTATGTTGACCTAAAGCCATTGACTCACTTTTATTTAACTTCATATGGAAAAACCAAACTGAGTATGTGAAAAGGAAAACGTGTATTAGAAGCTACTCTGAAGGAGGCTTTAATGCACTAGACTTTCAAACTATTAACCAGATTTTCAAGATTAATTGGATTAAGCAGTGTTTGTCTAAAAGCAGTTGTCAATGGTTTTACATTCCTAATTTGTTATTTGATAAGTGTGGTGGTCTAAAATTTCTATTATCTTGTAATTATAAATGTACCAAACTGCCCCTTAAGCTCTCTGACTTCCATAAACGAGCTCTTGAAGCGTGGAGAATGGCTTTTAAACACAACTTCATGCATATTATGGAACAACCAACATGTATTATTTAGAAACAAGTCCAGATACATAAAAGAGTGGATCGATAAGGGTGTTATATTTATTCAAGACATACTTAATGATAGAGGCGAATTTTATGAATATGAGGATTTTGTCCGCAACAAGGGTTCGGATATTTCTAGAAAACAATATCGTAATGTTTTAAAAAGCATATCTCCAAAATTACTATTCTTACTTAAAAGTGCAGTGTTATATGGTTCTTTGAAGGGAGAGCTCCCCAAGCTCACACTTGGTGGGAAAGATCTTTTTAACCGTATGTGTAATAATCGTCATATTAGAAGAGTACTGATCTCTGGTCATAGTGATTTTTCCCAAGTCGGTTCACTTATGGAAATTAAACTTCCCGGAACTCTTGGCAGAGGATGTCTGGTCAGATTCCTCATTCCAAATAAAATAAAAGAAGTCCATATGTCTTGCATAGATACTATCCCTGTAATAAATTGTTAAACAAATTTAAAACAGATTTTTCTCCTTTTATTCTTATTTCTGTAAACTAGAGGCTGAATCTATTAGTCATCTTTTCTTTAATTGTACTTACTCTCAAGAATTCTGGATAGAAGTTGCTTTGTTGATTTTTCGTCGCTTTAACACGTTATTACATATATTAGAAGACATGGTCTTGTTTCTAAATTGTAAAACTGACTCACAACCCATTGATAACGCCGTGAAACTACTATGTCTTGTTGGTAAATTTCACATCCAGAAGGCTAGATCGCTTCAAAATACTCCCTCTTTCATCTGTTTTTTATTAAATTACAATATCTCTTTGAATCTGTCTCTAAAATACCATTAAACAAAAAAGCTATTAAAACCTCACTAATAATTAGCAAGTTACTAAATAAAGAATCTATTAATACATAGGCTCTACATTACTTTATATCTCCTATATATCTCTATATTTCTTTTTTCTTTTTTTCTTAGTGATATTTACTTTACTGGTCTATACTTATGTTTGTCCTGATTTGTTTCGTAATCAAAATCTCTGTTTCACAATGTCTGTTAGCACATGTATGTTCCTTTTGATTTTGTTGTTAATCGCTGCTGAACTATATTTGGTTAATAAAGAATGAAGAGGGAAAAAAAAATGTTATGCTATTTAGCTAATTGTGATTAGATGCTAGCAAAGGATACAAGCAAGCCCATATGTGAGTGATGGTACAGAGCAGTGCTAATAAACCAATTGTCCAAAGCACCTGACGGACCGACCTCTATAAAGAACCTCGAGAGGTTGGAGACGTCTTCCTTTTCAACATCACTGAACTATTAAACAGACATTTTAAAAAACAAAGCTAATGCCGCACAGAGCTATCAGATCTCAAGAACCTTAGACAGCAGAGTTTCAGCTGATAGGAAAATACAGTATTTCACAATAGTGAGAACACCCCTCACATTTTTTGTAAATATTTGATTATATCTTTTCATGTGACGACACTGAAGAAATGACACTTTGCTACAATGTAAAGTAGTGAGTGTACAGCTTGTATAACAGTGTAAATTTGCTGTCCCCTCAAAATAACACATCACACAGCCATTAATGTCTAAACCGCTGGCAACAAAAGTGAGTGCACCCCTAAGTGAAAATGTCCTAATTGGGCCCAATTAGCCATTTTCTCTTCATATGACTCGTTAGTGTTACAAGGTCTCAGGAGTCACTGGAAGTTCAACATTGCACCTCATGGCAAGGAACTCTCTGATGATCAGAAAAAAAGAATGGTTGCTCTACATAAAGATGGCCGAGGCTTTAAGAAGATTGCCAAGACCCTGAAACTGAGCTGCAGCACGGTGGCCAAGACCATACAGCGGTTCAACAGGACAGGTTTTGCTGAAGACCAGCATGTCCTGTAGTCTAAACGTTGATTGTCAAGTAATCGTTGCAGCCCCAATACTCATCAAACCATTCACTGAGCCATGTGATCTGTACGATACCTCTACATTTGTTCTGTTTCTCTTCTGATTTCTGCAGGTTTACCTCTGTATTTCAGTTCCCAGCATGGTCTGAAAACACATTTTATCCAATTCTCTTTCAGCGAGAAAGTTCTCCTTGGTACTAGTCATGATTAAATCCACAAGTATGAACATCATTCCTAAAACACAAGTCATATTTAAAGCATGTAAAGTTATTACTGCGCTGATGGACTAGTTCCCCTGCATGCTGAATACCAAATTTTACAACTCAACTACATAAAATAAAAATGAGGCTGTTTCAGAAACTGAGGTTAAATGAAAAACTATTTATCAAATCTGAAAGTCATGTTCAGCCAGCAGAAATCCATTAGGATTAAGTTAAGATTCATCTAAGGTCTTCTGCACTGAGCTTTGGATGTTATTGAATAGTTATTAACATTGATCAACGGTGAGCTTGATTTTCTGAGTTTTAATCCTACAGAAGCTTATGGAGTTTTTCAGCCTGTTTTTTTGGGCACCGTAAAACCTGAGGGCAATCTGAATGCAATGCCAGTGTTGCACTGGTACAAACAGATTTTCATTGCAACATACCACCAATGCGTTGCTCCATGCGGGAAGGTGGAATTCCACCGCTTTGACAGAAAGCATTTCCTTGTTTTTAAGGGATAAAGTTTATTTCATAGAGTGTTAACTTGTAGATAAATGGTATGATTATATTTAGTAACCTGTATTTTCCTTTTAACAGGAGGCCAGGGATCAGTTCACTGTGAAGAGATCTTCTCGAGATGTTGCCTCAACACCTGAAGCAGATCAGAGTCCTGATGCTTAACGACAAGGAGAATTTACAGAGAAACCTGTTCAGACTTGAACAAGGTAATGCTTCTTTAAAACACTTTACTGTTCTTCTTTTCCACGAGTCGAGGCGGAGCTGTCGCTGCAGCTACACTTGTCGGCATCTTCCGCATGTTGGATCCCCATTACCTACGGTACCCACAAAAAAGAGTACCGACATGTTTCAGAATTTTGGTATCGACTTTGTACCGGTTCACGTGACATCCCTAGATACATGAGAGAAAGTCATTAAAAAATATTTTAAATGTTTAACTGAAAGAGGGATTTGGATGTTTAAATATTCAAAAAAGCTTTTTGGGACAATTATTTGACATTTACAAAGATAATGAAGTGTTTTAGTAGTAGAAGGCTCAACTTAAGTAATTACAGTTACTGAATTAAAGAAAGTGGCCTTTACCTATAGAATACAGAATCTCTCAAAAGTGAGTACACCCTTCACATTTTTGTAAATATTTGATTATATCTTTTCATGTGACAACACTGAAGACTCCCCGTGGCCTCCAGAATCAAATTCAAGTCACTAATGCTTGCATACAGAGTGACTACTGGGTCTGCTCCATCTATCTAAACTCCATAATACAAACTTACGTTCCTTCTCGGCCGCTACGCTCCTCCAATGAACGCTGCCTGGCTCTGCCATCCCTTCACACAAAGCAATCCCAGTCCCGGCTGTTCACATCTGTGACACCACGATGGTGGTCAGAGCAGGGGCGTCCCTCTCTAACTTCAAGAAGCTCTTGAAAACTCATCTCTTCCGAGAACACTTCCTCTTATAACACCTCTAACATGCACTTCCTGTGCTCTTCTTCTTCTATCCCCTACAATAATCTTGTATTGATTGCACTTTTTGTTGACTAGGTATCTTCCCCATTGATGTGATGTGTACTATGAGCTCTTACTAGTATTTATTGCTGCTCTTACTAGTATGTATTGTCAGTTGTAGATCTGTAGTTGATGCTCTGTTGATGCTTGTATGTTGTTCCTCAAATGTAAGTCGCTTTGGATAAAAGCGTCTGCCAAATGAGTAAATGTGAAGAAATTGTGACACTTTGCTACAATGTAAAGTAGTGAGTGTGCAGCTTGTATAACAGTGTAAATTTGCTGTCCCCTCAAAATAACACATCATATCTAAACCGCTGGTGAACTCCATGCCCAAGAGGGTTAAGGCAGTGGTGGACAGTAATGATGGCCACACAAAATATTGACACTTAGGGCCCAATTTGGACATTTTCACTTAGGGGTTTACTCACTTTTGTTGCCTACGGTTTAGACATTGATGTGATTTTGAGGGGACAGCAAATGTACGCTGTTATACAAGCTGTATAATCACTACTTTACATTATAGCAAAGTGTCATTTCTTCTGTGTTGTCACATGAAAAGATATAATCGATATCTTTATATAATCAAATATTTACAAATATGTGAGGAGTGTACTCACTTTTGTGAGATACTGTACATATGCTGCCTCAGGAAGACCGCCAATCTTGGAAGAAGTAGCTTCCTGTTTTGTGCGTTTACCTGATTATATATTCTTGGTTTAAGCACTAGAAGTCTCGAATTTAGCATCAACCAGTTCATATAAAGAACACCATCAAACTGGCGTCAAACTTGGCTTTCTGAAACTTGCAGAGTGGGCATTTTTACAATTCTATTCAAAACCAACAATAGAAGTCTTATTATGTGTCTGTATGACTGCACTGATTAAATATGGTGTCACTGCCCTAATGTTCATCTATTTAGGTGCCATGACACAGAAGTAATTAACAAGTCCTTCTTTATAGATTGAAAATAAAGACATGCAGTAGCTTTGGAGTGTTGGCTGAAGGATGAGGAGCTAGTGGAGGGAGAGGTGTACCATTTGACATTTACAGCACTCTGAAACTGATAGGGATTTTGTGAGCTGGCAGTAAAACTGGACTATATATAGACAGATATGTCATGGACCTGGAAGGTCAGACATTTTTTTGGCTAATCTCACTGTGAGTGACTGTATGTGTAAAGAATTCCTTTTGTTCATATCAGAGTTACAGAGCTGTATCTGTGTGTATGGCCATTGGTTAAAAGTCCAACAATTATGTTAACTGATGTTGACACCACAAAAGGCCAGTGTCAACATCGGCGAGCAATTATTTATTTATTGTTTTCAATGAAATTTATACTCTCAACTCCAAAAATAACAGCAAAATGTGTTGGACTACAAGGTAGAATGGAAACGAAGTGGAATTATGTGGGACACATTGCTATAAGTATTGTATTCCATCAACACCATATGTTGAATTAAAGCTTATAGTCAAAATATTTTTTGTCTCCTCAGGTTTTGAGCTCCAGTTCCGCCTGGGTCCGAGCCTGCAGGGGAGGAGGGTTATGGTACACACCAACTATCCACTTGACGAACAGAGATTTCAGCGGAACAAGTTCCGTGTTCTGGCGTGGAACTACCCAACAGGGAGGGAGGATGACTCGGATAAGTTCTGCTGTCTGGACCTCAAGATTGCCGGGTCCTATGAGTACTACTTTGGATATGGGTAAGACTACAGGCTGTGTTCCACATTTGAAAATGTGGGCGGTTGGCGGCAGGTGGCTTTTGTCCCGTGCAGCGTGTCTTTTTGGCTGTTGTGTGGCGTTACTTTGATTGGTAGCAGGGTGACTACCTGCCAGTTGTGGGATGCCCGCGTCACAACTACCCTCCAATTGTAAGTGCACTTTAGTTACCACGCACCTTATCTTTACTCCACCATACAACACTTCAGAAACCATGACATGCATCCAACACAAAACAATACATTTAAGGGGGGGGGGGCTCTCATTGGCCTCGTGTCCTGCACCCGGAGCCTCAGGGCTTCGTGGGGTTGGTGTTCGCCTTGCCTGGCCTGGGGTGGGGAGTGGGGGCCCGCTCTGGACCCGGGGTTCTGTGGACTTGGGCCTTGAACTTTTGCTCATGTCTGGGGCAGGTGGTGTTCCCCTGGGCCTGGGCACCCATTGTCTCCTCTCCTCACCGTGGCCCTCTTCGGCAGGGGTGACTGCCTGGGGGGGGGCTGGGCCCCACGTCCGGGGACAGGACCGGCCTCGGGTTCATGGGGCTCGGGGGCCGCTGGCTCTGCCTGCACTCGGGGGATATGGCCTCCGGCTGGGGTTGGGGACTGTTGGCCCTGGTTCTCCCACGTTATAGCTCCCTGGCACGGCTCTCTGCTGTTCCCCCTCGGGGCGGGATGCGGCTGTCTCCGGGACATGTGGTTTGGGGTCCTTTACGCTTTGGGGGGTCGTGGGGGGTGGGGGTCTCTGGGCACCTCGCGGTCCGGTTGCGGTTCGGAGTGCTGCGATGGGATTGAAGGGCGATTGTTGTTTTTTTTCTGTGCGGGCTCTCTGGATGGCTGCTGGGCGTTTAGTCTGTGCATTGGAGTCCGGGGGAGGGATTTCCTGGTTGGCTTGAAGGGACCAATTTGTGTCCCTGGTTTGCTTCGTTAGCCTCAGATCCTTGCTCCGTTGTTTCTCTGTCGGCCAATTGTCAGACTCCTCTGGAGACTGAGGTATAAAGTTAGTTGTCGGGATGTGCAGTGCGGGTACGGGGCAGGGCTGTGCTCCGGCTTGTTCTGAGCTTGTGCCTGTTGTTCACGGCCCTTGACGGGTGGGTGGGTTGGTGGTGACATGCAGCTGAGCTAGTTGATTTTGTTTCGTTGCTAGTTTGGCTGGCATTGCATGGCGGCGGGAGGGCGTGCTGTGCATGGGAGATGTTGGCTGGCTGTTTTCCGGCGGTTGGGGGAACGGGGACTTGCTGCTGGTGTTTTTCTCTGTTGGTTTTCACCGTCATGTTCTGTCGCTCGCTCTCGTTTGCTGAGCATCACACTCGGGATAAGCGGGGGGGCTGCCAGGCATTAGGTGTCGCCGTGCTCGCGCAATGTGCGGGTTGGGGTTGTCACTTGCGCGTTGATGTTGATGATTGTGTGGCATTTTGGTTGTTCGTTCCGCTGCGGTGGGGTGCCGGGCGCGGGGGGAGCACTGGTCTCTGTTGTGTGTGCACGCCGCGGTCTGTCTGGGCGCTGCTCTTTTGGCCATTTTTTGTTTGTGCTGTGAGTCAAATAAAGACAAATATTCACCTGCAGGTGTTCCTGTTTACACTCATTTACATAACTATCAATGTGTCTGGGAAATGACAGAAGGTTGGAATATACTGTTATCGTGCTAAAGGTGCTGTGAAAAATTGGGTGCACGTAAATATTATTAAGAAAACAATCCCAAATCAAGGTCCAGTTCCAGGCCTTTCAACCATATCACACAGTCTCCATAAGCATATGGAATTTGCAGAGTTGACACGGAGATGAATTTGTTGACATACAACCTCCATCAACTGGTGAAGACCATGTGATTTGGTTGAAAGTCCTGGAAAAAGCTATTAAGTGGACCTTGAGTTAGGGTGGTTTTGTCAAGTAAAGTGGTGATTTGTGAAATTTTGACCTTTACTCAAACTGTATGTGATGTAAACTTTGTTGTTGTTCATTATCCGAGTCCAATTCAATACATTCTAAAATCTATTATTGGAAATGTTTGCTTGAATAATAAAGAAAAAATATGTTTGACAGCCGCACAGCTCTGCAGTAAAGAATATATAGCATACAGCATATCTTATGTAATATATTTATAATGTTTCTTATAATATTTTGATATGATGATTTTTTTTTTTTTTTCCCCCACAGAGACACAGAGCGGTCAGGAGGAGGATACATCGTTGTTGACCCCGTCCTTCGTGTGGGAGCAGACAGTCACGTCCTCCCATTAGACTGTATCTCCATCCAGACCTACCTGTCCAAATGTCTGGGACACTTGGATGACTGGCCAGATAGGCTGAGAGTAGCCAAGGAGTCAGGTGTGTGTGTGTTTTCTTCAATTTATTTTGTGTGGAAATAGGTTAGTGCAATACAGGTAGAAGAGCCCCAGAGTGATTAGGGACTTCAGGAAAATAAAATCATCAGTCAAGGCTGACATTTACCACTGTTTTTGTAGATTTATGTGTCCATTGTGATTACTTTGTTGGCACAGTTTTATTGTCATTTATGCAGTGGTGGACAGTAACTAAGTACATTTACTCAAGTACTGTACTCAAGTACAAATTTGAGGTACCTACTTTACTTTCAACTTCTATCTCACATCTCAGAGGGAAATATTGTACTTTTTAGTTCACCCCCTTTATCTGAGAGCTTCAATTACTTTATAAATTAAGATTTTTACACACAAAACACATGAAGATTTAATAAAATATGTTTTGTTATTAATTAAAACTACTGAACTTTATACAACTACAGCCGGAACGATTAGTTGATCTATTTTGATCGTTGTTTTTCATGCAAAAACATTTGATGGTTCCAGCTTCACAAATGTAAAGATTAGCTGCTTTTCCTTTAAATTATTTAAGTTATTTTTATTTTTAGGTTTTAATAATGTTGATGTTCGGACTGTTGGTTGGACAAAACGAAGCACTATGAAGGTGTCACTTTGGGCTCTGGGTAACTGTGACAGCATTTCGCACTATTTTACAATTCTTTTTGCAAACAATTGATTAATGGAGAAAATAATCAGAAGATGTATTCATAATGAAGATAATTACTAGTTGCAGTCCGATACAAAAAAGTTGGCAAAGAGCTCCAGCTCAACAACTACAGCAGTAAAATGCTTTTACATGAATGCAAAAGGAATAATATTCTAATGATATTATATATACTATAACTATAACTATAACAGGGGACGTGTTTCTGCATCGAGTACTTTTACTTTTGATACAATTTGTTGATTATACTTACATACTTTTACTTAAAGGATCTCAATATGTCGTACCACTGAATTCATGTGAACAAATTAGCTGCCGAATCAGTTGTATATTGTATATTCACAAATACTGTATGTAGACCGCAGTTTGTTCCAGCTGTTATTCAAAACAGGCTTTAAGTTAGACGAGGGTTTTACAGCTGTCTTGATTTATGTTTTTCCTATGTATTGCTATGTTTTTATAAATTGTATCTCACTTTATTGTGAAGCATTTTGCGATTTTTATCCGTGAAGGGTGCTATATAAATCAACTTTACTAACTTACTTACCTTACATTTTAGAGCCAAAGTGTTGTTGAAGTTGTTTTTTTGCTGTTTCAAAAAGAAAATGAAGATAATATCTGTAAGAATGTCTGAACCTGAGAGGTCACCTGACGTCACTGGATCATATTGACAGCCAGTCTTTGTTATTTTAGTCCTCTTCACCTTGAGTTCATATGGCTGAACTCGGATGAATCATTACCGTTGTGGTGTGTGTGTGTGTGTGTGTGTGTGTGTGTGTGTGTGTGTGCAGGTGCTGTGTAGAAGGAGCGTTCACAGCGCACAACACATTATCAGGATCGTTAGTAGTATTTAACAGTATGGTTCATTGGCTTAATAATATTGTGTATGTTGGTTTCTCTTACAGGATACAACATGATCCACTTGACACCTCTGCAGACTCTTGGAGAGTCCAGGTCATGTTACTCCTTGGCAGACCAGCTGGCCTTAAACCCTGACTTCAGCCCAGAGGGTCAGAGCTACAGCTGGGAAGATGTAGGGACGCTGGTGGAGAAGTTAAAGAATGAGTGGAACATGCTGTGTATTACAGATGTGGTGTATAATCATACTGGTGAGTGACACTGTGTGCATCTATTTATGTGTGTGCACTAAAAGCAGAGCTGAAATCCACAAACAGGATCCTGGCGTAGGTTCCTGGGGAGTCCAGGTGCTGGAGGATGTAGTGAAGGGCCATGTTTACTGCAGGGGGTCCAGGAGTAGGTCTGTAATGGATTTTAGGTGGGACAACACAAGGCATTCAAAGGAATTCATAACCACAGAGGTCAGAGCGACGGGTCTGTAGTCGTTTAGTCCAGTGGTCCTTGGTTTCTTGGGGACAGGGATGATGGTGTCCGATTTGACTCTCAAAGCTGCAGTAGAACTGGTTCAGCTCATTTGCCAGGCGAGAATCGTTTATGGAGTTGGGGGACTTTGGGTTTATAGTTTGTGATCTGTCTGAACCCCCTCCGTACAGAAGTGGCGTCGTTTGCAGAGAACTGGTTCTTTAGTTTCTCTGAGAACAGTCGTTTAGCTTCTCGCACCTCTTTGCTAAACCTGTACTTTAACGTCCTGTAAGCAAGAATCAGATGGACCATCACGTGATCAGAGCATGTGACGGTGTGATAGGCGCTGCTAACGGTGTAGCAGTGATCCAAAGTTTTCCCTGCTCTGGTTGGACACTTAATAAACTGTCTGTATTTGGGGAGTTCTTGGCTGAGATTTCATCAGAGCAATCTACTACTAACAAAGAACTACATGAATAAAAAAGCCAAAACTATTTCAACACCTCCAGTAGGCCTCTGGTTTGACAGCGGTAGTATTAAACCGGGCAGGACAAACACTTAACGCTCTCTCCCACATCTCTCTCTTCATTGGCTACAACAGCTATCCCTTCGTGGCCCTCTCTTCCCGCTTCAGCTGAATATTCTGTTCTGTATAAGACGTATAACACAACCACTAAGATTGTGGTTGATTCCGTTCAACTTTCAGAGTATAGTATCTCCCAGTCTCTCTCTCTCTCACACACTGTGGAGTATGTGGTGTGTGAGCAGCATGCTAAACCAGGAACTGAGCTCACATTACTATAAAGGCCACTGGCTTCAAGTGGCAAAGCGGAGTTACTAGCCCTTTGGGGGAACAATGAGGGGAGGAAGGTGACCACACTGAATTAAGCACATTTGAGGGTAAAGACTAAGAACAATGACAGATTTGGTGACTTATTTTTTAAGAAAATGCAAGTATTTGTGGAAATATTCCAGATTCACACCATTATGATGTCATGTTTGTTACTCAGTAAGAAGCGTTTAGAAAAATCTGATCTGTTGTTGGGTCAGTTTGTTGAAGTGCATGAAAACAAACACGAGCATGAAGGTAAATAAAAGGAGACTCTGTGTGCTCTCCTGTGTTAGCGCTCCATGTGTTCCCGTCAACCCATCCTCCCCCTCTCCCTTTCACAGGCCAGAAGGTCATTAAGACAAGTAAAATTAGCCTTACCCTGAACCTCACCTTTAACCTTAAAAGGTTAAAGACTGCTAGAGCAGTTGATTTATTGTGTACCTACGTGTCAGTCTATCTGTAGCCATCTTATCACTGAAATACAGAAACCTTTTCTAACTGTTTAAATAGTTCATGACCTGCTGCTGAACTTATAGTGTTGAATGAAATGAAATACTTTTTTTTGCCTGATATAAAATAACCATGCTGCATGTGGCTTTCTTTAGAAAAGTTAATAATAAAAGTCTGCTTTCATTATTCTTTTTAAGGAACACAAAGCATTTTATTAAATGTGCCAGTCGAGCATATATCATGAGAATTGTGTAACACACCCGAAATTACCTCTCTATACTCTTAATAGAAATGTAAATCAATGAAATAATGACCAAGTAATGGTTTTAACATGTATTAGAGGTAAGCCAAATTTATATCACGTCTGACCCGGACGGCACACAGGTAATCGCAGCTGGGAGACAACATCGCAGTTTCCCGCAAACATTTAACCCCCAAAACTCCAGCAGACCAAAAGTTTGTTTAAGTAACTTAAATTGTCCGAATTTAAATAGATTTTCTCCTTAGTGGAAAAACATACCCCCAAAAAAAAGATATCAGGTCGAAGCGTGGCGACTTGCGCAACCTCACCACTGTTTAGCCGATGGGATGATGCAGTAATCCAGAGAAGTCCCAACATTTAATCCACAGAAAAGTGTGATTATTCTTTCTTTCTTTCGTTGAGTTCGTCTGGCAAGCCTGTGTTACCGAGCCCACTAAACTCTGACCGCTTCACCTGTTGAAATAATAAATAATAATAAAGGATAGTCCATATTATTTATTTTCATTTTTCATTTAGCCAAAGCGACTTACAATTGCCATACATCTCAGAGGTCGCACGCCTCTGGAGCAAAGAGGGGTTAAGTGTCTTGCTCAGGGACACAATGGTGGATGTCTCACAGTGGGAATCGAATCCAGGTCTTCCATGCCAAAGGCAAGCATCTTATCTATGGGCCATCACCACCCCATTTTACAATCCGTGTTTACACCACAGGACATGTGAAGGAAGAACAATATTCTCAAAGCATGTTCACCATCACATCAGCTGTACATGACTGTAGTATTGGCGACTATTACGGTTTGATCTCTTGCTATTAAAAGAGCTAAATGGTGGTGTTTATCTTCTTCTTCTTTCCAGCTGCTAACAGTGTGTGGATCAAAGAACATCCAGAGTGTGGTTACAACCTGGTGAACTCTCCCCACCTGCGACCGGCCTGGGTCTTAGATCGAGCGATCTGGCATCTGACCACCAGAGTAGCAGAGGGACGCTACAAAGATAAAGGACTTCCTGCTGACATTACCAATGAGAGCCATCTGAACGTGAGGAGACACTTCAGTACACAACTGAACTGTTGAACTGAGGGTGGACATGGCACTTCATGACGGGCATTTAACAACAGTGTTGCAGAGGATACCCATTATCTAGATCCTATGACAGCATTATCGTTTGTTTGGGGCCATGCACAACACACCCAGGGGGGCCAGAGTTAGTCTTTTAGTTAAGTTAACATCTGTGGTCCCTGCAAAGGAAGAGATTAACAAACAACACAAAACAATTAAAAACTAAAATTAGAAAAATGTATAAACAGAACATCACACATAAAACAACATCACACAAAATATACAGTAAATATTCTCCATGCTGAAAAGAAGTCAGTTCCATACAAAGGTTTAGATTAGTGATCACATGATTGGTTTATCTTGAGCCGTGTTTTAAACGTTGTTTTAAAAACTCTGAAGCTTGTGCGTTCTGTGATGTGGGTGGGAATTGGGTTCCATTTATCTGCTGCTCTGATTAAAAATGCTGACTGTCCAAAACCCACTTTCTTAAATGTAGCTGAGCAGTCGCCTCTGACTGATGCCCTGGTCTCCCAAGCATTATAAAAGAACAGTTTGATTGACCGAATGAAAAGCCTTTTTAAAATTGAGAAAAACAGCAACAACAGCACCTCCACTATCAAGACTGGGTTTAATTTGTTGAATAAAATAGCAATTTGCCGTCTCTGTGGATGTTTCCTGAATCCAAACTGCATAGGATGCAGTGGCACATAGCCATGGTTTAGATTGATTTAGATTAATTGGTCACAAATTACTGTTTAAGTTGCTTTAGATATTACTGGGATTCTGATAGGTATGTCAGTAGTTCCATTGGTTGGATCACCAGCCTTAAAAACTGGGGTTATAACTGCTGATTTCCAGGCATTGGGAACATAGCATTGTTTTATTGTTAACAAGATGAGTAATAGGAGTACAGAGGATACTGGCAGTGGCGTAAGGTAGTAACAACGGGCCCCAGTGCAGGCTGTTATGAAGCGGCCCTTGGGCTACACCGTTACGAAGCACACACACTGCGTCCTTGTCTAGAAGGGAACCCTATATTGGCAAACTTATGTGCCTTGTTTCCTTGTTTTGCCACGGTTTATAAACCGATAAGATTAGATGCAGTAAATACCCAATTTACCTACTTAAGTTGATTTCTTTCCATATGAACATATTAAATTCAACAGTTCTCTTTGTGTGCGTCTCTCTCCAACACACACACAGCTCATGTCCTCCTGTGCTGCCTGAACATGACCTCCAACGAGGCAGCTATTATACTCTCTCAGGCTGTGACTTGCTAAGTGATTTCCCCCGTTAGGAAATGCAGATAGTTAGTGACGTGAGGAAAGGCTGAGCAATTGTGATGTCCACACCACATCCTGTAAGGGATGACAAACAACACAGAGAAACCATATTTGTTCAGTTTAACTGTTGTTAATGAGTATGTTAGAGGAACTGTATGTACACATTATGATACTCTTATGAAACACTTTTGTATTGCTAATGTTAAATGTAAATTTCTTAACAAAATTTTGCAGGCAATGAACACTAAAGTAAGAAAAGCCTCTTTAATCAGTTTGTGTGTTTGCGTCCCTCTTTGTGTGTTTCAGGCTATCCGCAGTGTGCTGTGGCAGGACGTGTATCCTCAGATCAAACTATGGGAGTTCTTCCAGGTCAACGTGGACAGTGCTGTGGAGCAGTTCAGGACCCTGCTACAAAATGGTTTGTACTATAAATCAGTCAAGATTAGAAGCATTGCTGCAAAACAAAGTCACCACATCAGCAGAGCAGCAGCTTAATAATGCATGTCTATAGGTGCATGTTTATTTCGGCCCTATGTGTGTAAATGAATAGAAAATATTAAAACAAATTGAATCAGTTGATAAATACTTCTTCTGAAACCCTCCCTGGGTAATCATTTGCTTTAATAAAGTATTCTACAATGTATACAGCAGTGGAAAGTAGGTGTGGGGGGAAAAATCGATACAGCATGGTATTGCGATATTTTCCATGGCAATACTGTATCGATACACGGACGCCAAGTATCTGTCTTTTATTATATAAATTGTACATGAGAATATTACTTTTTTGGTGCTAATCATTTGCTTTTTCAGCCCACTTCAAAAAGAGTTTTCCTTTGGAGACACAATTTAAAGTTGGAAAAAAGTAATAAAGTCCAGTACATCGCAATATGTTTAAAATCGCAATAATATCATATTGTGATAATATCGTATCGTGACATAAGTATCGTGATAATATCGTATCGTGACATAAGTATCGTGATAATGTTGGATTGTGATAATATCGTATGGTGACATAAGTATCATCATAATATCGTATGGTGACATAAGTATCGTCATAATATCGTATGGTGACATAAGTATCGTCATAATATCGTATGGTGACATAAGTATCGTCATAATATCGTATGGTGACATAAGTATCGTCATAATATCGTATGGTGACATAAGTATCGTCATAATATCGTATCGTGACATAAGTATCGTGATAATGTTGGATTGTGATAATATCGTATGGTGACATAAGTATCGTCATAATATCGTATCGTGACATAAGTATCATCATAATATTGTTTTGTGGTGACTGGGATTTCCCACCCCTAGTGGACAGTAACTAAGTACATTTACTCAAGTGTTGTTAGAGGTATTTGTACTTTACTTGAGTATTTTCTTTTCATGCCACGTTCTACTTTTTACTTCACTACATTTATCAAACAGCTTCAGTTACTTTACAAAGCAAGATTTTTACACACAAAGCATATGAAGAAGATATACAATATGATGTTTTGTTATAAATGAAACAACAGATAATGTACAGATACATTAGTCAGTTGACAGATTAATTGTTTTAAGTAATTTTTCATGTAAAAACGTTTTGTGGTTCACCAACATAAAGATTTGCTGCTTTTCCTTTTAATTATTTTAATGTATTTTTTAGTAATTTTGAGGTCTAGACTGACAAAACAAGCATTGTGATGGTGTCACTTTGGGCTCTGGACAGTCTTGACAAGGTTTTTCACTATTTTCAAAATGTCTTCAATCGATTAATGGAGAAAATAATCAGCAGATTAATCAATAATGAATGTCTGATACAAAATAGTTCAACCTACTACAGTAAAAATCCTGCTTTTACATGAATGCATGAGTAATTATTGAGTGATTATACTTACATAATTTAACTTTAGTAACATTTTCAATGCAAGACTTTTACTTGTAAAGTAGTGTATTGTGGTAGTAGAGTATATTTACAGTGAGGTGTATTTTTAGATAGATAGATAGATCCTTTATTTATCCCGAGGGAAATTCAAGTATCCAGTAACATACGATACATACATACATTAAGCATACATTAAACCTATATCAAAATAAAATTTAAATAAAATTAACTTAACACAGTAGCCACAGTAAACAAGGTCTGACCCAAACTCTGGGTTTGGAGAATCGTTACACCCCTAATATAAATTGACATGTGGCCACGATCACCTGTTTATTGATGAAGAGTGTCTAGTGTATTGTATTGAACTGATACCTTTTTCTATGTTTTGTTACCATTGTGTTAAAGGAAATCACAACATCAACAAAATAAACAGCAATACATTTCAGTGTGTTCGATGACAGATCATTTGATGACAGACGTTTATTTTAGATGCTGTTTGACAGATGTAAAATACCCTTTGTTTGTTTTTTTTTTAGGCACCAAGTCAGACATCAGTAAGACTTTTGGGAAGAAGGGTCTGAAGATCATTCAGGACCCAAATTACCAACGTTATGGCAACACAGTGGACATGGACTCTGCTCTGGAGACATTTGTACCTCACAGGTCAGACTCAAACTACCTATTATTCATTGTATTGGTCGTTCTTGAATCATGAATTTATGTGTGCTGATTTGAATCAGTCAAGTCTCTTTTTCTTAACGGCTGAGAGGTTAATTTTGGTAAGGCAAGAACATTATATAATGCTAACGTTTCCTTAGTTCACTGCAAACAGTATTGGTTAACCTACTATGTGTTAAATTCACATTTCTACTTGAAAGTCCATTCAATTCAGGTTTTGCTTTGAACTCAATTAACATATTTTTCCAATATAGGACACATCCAACTCTAAAACATCAGGAAACCACATGAAGTGTGACACTAAAGGCATGAATTGCAAATTCATACAGGTTGAACAGAATCAGCACAAAACATAATGTTATCGTGGGATTCAAAGGTTAATTTGTTGATGCCGGGTTGCACGATGAAATGTAACTTGTCGCCTCTTCATGCTACACACATAGAACATATATTGTCAATATATATAATAATGTTGAAATTTGAATAAAATAAAATAATACATACAGTCACTGTGGTTGCCATTTCATTGTTTACCACAAACTAGAAAAGCAAGAATATATGCAGTACACAAATACTGTGTAGCAGTGCAATTTCCCACCCGTGATTGAAGTGTGAACAGGTTCAAAAGCACAAACACCTGCAATTAGTAATCCTGAACTGGCAGGCCCTTGTTATACTTCTTCTGTGTACTCTTACGTACAGTATGTATACATACTGTATATGTATGCAGCACTTTGCAGAATGGTATTTACTTCTCTCTCTCTCTGCAGCTCGTCCCCGCAGCACATCGAGGAGTGCTGTGGTTGGCTGCGACAGAAACTGAACGAGCTGAATGAAGAACAGCACCACATCGTGCACCAGCATCAGGAGCAGGTAAGGTTAAAGGCTATTGTCTTTGCTCTTTTTTTGTGCGTCCCTGATTCCGTCTTCCTGTCGGTGACCTGTGCGCGCGACCAGGGGGCAGAAAGCAGCATTCTGTCCTCGCGGCGCATAAGTTTATACGGCACATCTAGCAGCAGTGTTGGGCAAATTACTCAGAAATTGTAAAGACTTACTTTTAACTTATCACTCATTATTATTACTGGGTATTAAAAGTAAATAGTCACGTTACTCACTCCTTTCAACCACCGCGCCCCAACCTTAAAAATGATGGGAAACCTGTTCAGAGGCGCATTTTAGAAATTAATCCACTTTACTGGAACAATAATTAACCTGACGAGTCAACAAGCAGCCGAACAGAAAACACTGCAGCCTCTCAGACCAGAGGATGCTGGATCAAATAGGCTATTTAAAAATAATAAAAACAAAGCAGGTCCCTCGTGACTTTCGGGCGAACGAAAGGCGGACCCTGGACAGGTTGCCAGGCCACACATAGACGAACAACAACTCACGCACACACCTAAGGACAATTTACAATTTACTAAAGACAATGTCTTTGGACGGTGGGAGGAAGCCGGACCCCACACAGGGAGAACATGCAAACTCCACACAGAAAGGCCGGGGCAACCGTGGGTTTGAAGCAACGACCTTCTTGCTGTGAGGCGATAGTGCTAACCACTGCACCACCATGCCATCCTTTCATAAAGGATGGTCCAGTGTACCCTATGCTAAAGAAGATAGTAAGAAAAGTAGTACTGACGCACCTTTCCTCAGCTGTTAGATTGCTGCCACTTAAACACTTCAAAAATGGTACACGTACTGTATTCTGCATAGTGTTAGCGTGAAGTGTGGAACTGGAGACACACTGAGCGTTCCCAAAATACACAATGCATCCTATGCATCTGTTCATTATGTTCTTCCTCTTGTTTCTTTCTCAAGGCTGCCAACTGCATTGTGGGAAATGTAGTGTATGAGCGTCTGGCAGACCACGGCCCCAAACTTGGTCCTGTTAGCAGGAAAAACCCTCTGGCTACCAGGTAACGAATTTAAAGATACGTGTTTAAGGAGAGAGGAAAAGGAATGGGATAGATACATGCATGGAGGTTCTTTCACATATCTTTTAGGTCAGATTTACTGTAACTTTGAGAGGTTACCTGAGGGAAATCACTGCCATTCGTCTTGTAATCTAGTTGCATTGCATTGGACCATGTGGGTTTCTGCAGAGTAATATGTACTAGTGAACAGCGAGGATTTCTTTCTTTCATTGAGTTCAAACATAGAAGTAACAACATTTAAGTAAATGGAAAGTTTGTCCTAAGGGTGAGAGAGGAAAGACCACTTGTTTAATGAATATACCATGACGTTGTGAAGCTAATTCCCTGGCATCTAACCGAGATATGATGTGTGTTAAATTGAGTTTTGGCTTTCTGTTCCCGGAAGAAATGTAAAGGCTTTATTCTCTGGAGAATGTGAACGTGTTGAGTGACAGTTCCACCATTAGTCCCCGCTGTCATCGAGGCAAATTTAGTTTTGGATCTGTATGAGGCAATAACTTGTGAACATTTGAAAGTTTTAGCAACAAGAAATACCTAATATGTAATTTCTAAATCAGCCATCTTTCTGAAACAGATGGCAGTCTTTGTACCTTTTATTAATTCAGTCAGGAGAGACTTAATCTGAGGGAACCAATCATTTGAATAGATTTGGCGAATAGAGTGCCTTGGTATATAAAGGGGATGGTGAAGCCTTAAGTGGTAGAGACACCAACTAACTAAAAAACACAGTCCCAAACAGAGCAAGTGTTGGCCTCAGTTTTGGCAAAACTCTAACCGCTATGTTAATGCGACTCCCAGCGTGAGAGCAGGTTCACTTGATTACTATCACTGTGAACGCCGGTGTCACAGCAGCTGGGCGGAGGTGATTCACTCCTCCAGTCGACGTTATCATTTACATTTGCTTTTTCATTGCGTTAGACAATGGAAGTGCGGCGACACAGCATGTGAAAAATGTCACTTGTGTGAGTTGTCACGAGAGACAACTTTTAATCTGACAAGTTATCTCATCATATTTTAATCTTGCAAGACATCGCAGCATTAAAGTTCGGCAGCGACTACATGTTGGCTGATGAAGATTGGGGCAGAGTGAAGTTGTGAATGAATGAAGTTAAAGATAGTCTTTCTTGTTGAACTTACCCTGAGTTTCATTAAAACCCCTAAATAAGACTGACCTGGTCATTTACATTTATGAATAAAAACAGTCTGACAGCATAACTCTAACCCTAACTCTCTAAGTGGATGATATACAGTAATGCCGGCTATTTATTAAAACTAAATCCTGTACAGATAACACTGACTGGAGGTTCATGGTGATCCCAGCTGTGAGTGTTTTTATCTGTCTCTCTCAGGTATTTCACCTACCCATATCAGGACTTGACTCTGGAGCATGAGATGCAGCTGCTGGACCAGCCGGACAAGATGTGTCACTTCCTGGCACACAACGGTTGGGTGATGGGCGATGATCCACTGCGCAACTTTGCAGAACCAGGTAAATGTTTAATTAAATTTAAACTAAACAGAAAGGACACAAAAATCAATGAAAAGTTTTTTTTTTATCTGGGACAAAACACATTGAGAAGATGTGTGTCCATTAACAGGGATCTTAGCACCTCAGTTTTCAGACTTTATGTTGTACTGTCTGCTCTAATTCACTGTATCAGGATTGGTGTGTGCTTCCTGTAGGCTCCAACGTGTACCTGCGTCGGGAGCTGGTATGCTGGGGTGACAGTGTCAAACTCCGCTATGGCAAAGGGCCCGAGGACTGCCCGTACCTGTGGGCCCACATGCAGAAATACACTGAAATCACAGCCCAGTATTTCCATGGAGTCAGACTGGACAACTGCCACTCTACACCATTGCATGTAGCTGAGGTACTGTCATATATTTTCATGTTATAAAGTCAAGTCAAGTTTTATTTAAAGTGCAAAATCACCAAAAGACGTGGTCTCAATACATTATACAAAATGCATTGAAATAAAATAAACCATAAAATACAGAATGCATGTAATAAAACACAAGATAAAATACAATCAGGATAAAATCAACAAAATAAAATGATAAAACGATTTAATAACTTTGCTCCTGTCGTAACTAAAAGCTTTATTAAACAGCCTTGCATTTTGAGAGCGCAGTGCTCTATTGTGGCAGTAAGGTATCAGGAGTTCTTTGAGGTACAATGGTGCCTGGCCATTTAAGGCTTTGTAAGTAAGTGGAAGAATTTGTAAAATGTGTTCTATATTTCACAGGGAGCCAGTGAAGGGAGGCTAGAACTGGAGAAATATCAGCTGGCGAGGCTTTAGAGGCTTAATTGTGCTGCCTGCTAGTAAAAAATTGCAATAGTCAAGCCTGGAAATAATGAAAGCGTGGACCAGTTTTGGGACAGGATGTTTCTTTACCAATGTTACATAAATGAAAGTTGGCAGTTCTTGAAATTTGCACAATATGCAGGTTGAAGGACATTTCCTGATCGAAAGTAACTCCCAGGTTCCTTACGGTGGTACTGAGGGCCAGGGCGATGCCATCCATAGTAACAATGTTGTTGGGTAATATATCTCAAAGGTGTTTGGGCCCAAGTAAAATTACTTCAGTTTTGTCTGAGTTCAGCATGAGGGAATTACAGGTCATCTAGGCTGATTTGAATCATCCGGCCTGATCGCTAGATATAACTGAGTATCATCAGCATAGCAATGAAGTTTATCACACAGTTAAATAGATGAAGGTTGTTGATTCAGCTCTGTGGTAATTTTTGAGGCTGTAGTTTGCTGTGGCGTTAATCTGATATACATAATGAGTGCATTGATTCCACGGGTCTTAGAAATTTGGTACTGATTCCAACTTGGAACCAGTTTTGATACCCAACCCGGCTCAAGTTACGTAGAAGTTGGTTATTAAAACAAAAAATATAAATTATACATTGGTGCTTAAATTAAGGGAAAGTCTGACTTTGGTAATGTAGAGCATGAATTTTATTGTCATTCTTGTTTTCCATCACTGGTGGTCAGATGAAGAAGCTAAATCCAGAGTAGGAAAGAGTGGTTTATACTGGAGAGTTCAAACAGATACTCAACGAACTGGGTCCATCCTCAACTTTAGAGTTGGCTCGTACAGAAATGAGTGGCTGAGATGTTGAGGAATCAAGGCACACCTGGGAACTGTTATGAGCATGTATACAATAAAAGTAATAATCAAGCCTATACCATATCCTGAGTATGATCAAAAATAGGATAAGGCTCAAAACCAAAATACTAGTGTGCGTATAAATGTGTTCATTTTATATTTTGGCCTGTTTTACAGCATTGCATTACATCATACGGGTATTTTTAGTTTTTTTGGCACTCTGTGAAATAGGTAAGATTTAGATTGAACTTTCTGAACGTGAGAAGAACCAACTCCATGTTAAATGTTCTGACTTCTCAGTGCACATGTGTTACCTTGTGATGGCATAATTAGTAGGGTCACTACACCTCATAGTTTAGGTCAGGAACCAATGGAGAAACTTTGCTTTGACTAAAATTATGTGAAAAATCACCCCGTCCATTTATCTGAAAAACTGCACATTCACCTGCAACGCTACTGTCTAATGCTCGGGAAAATTCTTGGCTACTTTATGCCATTAAAATTACAATAATGCCACATGTTTTCTATCTTTTCAAAGTACTGTCTAGCCTGATGATGGACTAACTGTCATTTGCAAAGCCTGAAAACAAAAACAACACTGATACTATCTGTGGCCACGTTCTTATGACATACCTACAGGAAACGGTAGATGCTGCAAACTTACCCTTACAGTGACTATCCTGTTTATCTCTTTTATTTTTAACATCATAAAAGTTGCATATTGTAGCTTTAAATATGATTATTTTAGGAAGAAATAAACATGTAAATTGTGGGAAAAGAACATCAGATGTATTTGCAGACAGGTTTTATGTTACTGAATGTCTTCATGTGTGTAAGGGTATACTGTATGTCAGTGTATGTGACCCTGCTAACAGCAGACCCTTCTTCTCTCCTTGTCTGTAATTCTGGTGTATTGTCTTGTCCAGGCCATGTTAGATGCAGCCAGAGAGGTCAGACCCAATCTGTATGTGATAGCTGAACTGTTTACAGGCAGCGAGCTCATTGATAATGTGTTTGTTAACCGGCTGGGAATTAGCAGCCTTATACGAGGTACAGTTCTCGTGCGTGAACTAACTTGTTTTTTTTTGTCTCTTTCTTCACTTTTCACTGCATTGTTCTGCTTTCCTCAATTTCATAACTAAACAACTCGTCTGTGTTTTCTCTTTACTTTCTCTCTTTGTGCTCATGAGCTGTATAAATGCATGGTATGGATACTTTGAGGCCTGTCGTCACTAACTCCCCTTCACATTAAGGCTACAGCCGCACTGCTACGTTCTTGTTTTAAAACAATCTTCATCCACACAGAATTGATCTCCGTCTAAATTATATAAACACGAATGCCAGTGTAAACAGGAAGCAGATTGTCTAATCCGCTGCTGCAGAAGATTCAGTAAAAGATTAAAGTAAGTTACTACTACAGACGAACGAGGAACAGCAATGGTGAATAACCACAGCAGAGATTTCTTTGCATGGAACGACCACGAGGTGGAAATGTTACTGAAAGTAACACGGGAGTACAAAGTGACTGTGGCAGCAGAAAATGTAAATAAATGCTCCGTACTTGTATAGCGCCTTTCTAGTTTTTCGACCACTCAAAGCGCTTTTACATACATCTGCATTCACCAGTCATACACATTTATACACTGAGCCTAAGTGCTCAAACGGAAACTAACATTCACACTCATTCATACACTGGCACGCAACCAGGGGGAGCCAGGGATTGAACTGCCGACCTTCCAATTAACGGCCAACCAGCTCTACCACCTGAGCCACAGCCGCCCAAAAAAACAGAAGAAAACAGACTGGGAGTCGGCACAAAGCAAATTCAAATATTTTAAACACCAAAACTAAAAATCTGTCAGTAGCTTTGGTTTTTGCTTTTCATGACTGATAAAGCCAATCAGGAAGCCAAAGGTGAGTCTCTGCGTCATAATTTTGATAGTCCTGGGTTTTAAAATGGAAATTCGTTTCAGGTGTTTGGATTCGCCGTTTTAGTCTCGACAGCAAGCAAAAACTTTGCAAAAGTGCTGCGTTTTAAAATGAAAACATAGTAGTGTGGAAGAAGCCTAACTCTCCTCCTCCTCCTTCTGTCCATTCTTATCTCCTCCCCAACCTCCTACCTACTATCCTGACCACTGCCTGCACTGGTTTTTGGTGTGTTGCCTTTGCTGTGGTTGACCAGTTCATGCTGGACGTGGCCAGAACAGTTTGTCCTAACCTGTATGTGGTGGCTGAACTGTTTACCGGTAGCGAGGAGCTCGACAATGTCTTCGTCACCAAACTAGGGATCACATCGCTCATACGAGGTACAGTCATTTTATACGTTCAACATGCACTCACACTACACACACATGGAGTAAAGTCATAGACAGAGTAGACGGATACCAAGGTGGTATCATGTTGCTTGTGCATATTATCATACAGATGGGTGACAAACACAAAGTCAAAAAGCAAAACAATTATTTTATTTTTAATAAAAGTGTGTTAGTAAGGTGTTGTTCCACCTCAAGCCTCCAGAACAGCTTCAGTTCTCATCATGCGGGCATCCGGATAACACATATCTGGGCCAGATGATAGCCACTGGTTCCCGAGATTGCATTTCCAGCCATCAAGTCTATCTTCATGTCTTTAGACTGTAGGAGGAAGCTCGAGCACATTGGGAAGAACATGCAAACTCCACACAGAAAGCCCTCAAAAGTATTGGTTATAGATTCTCAAAGTGTGTTGACCTCCGCTGGAGGGATGAACAGCATTCTTCGAGAAGAAGGTGGTGACCGTGAAGGCTGCAGCATATGATTCACATTATTTCCATACTCATCAAACCATTCAGCGAGCCCTTGTGTGGAAGCATTTGTTACTTCAATTTGTCACCTGTCTGTATTTACTTCATTGATTCCTCTTGGGAAAACTTTTTTTTTTTTATTCCCAAAAAGTAGTATTTGGGTAACATAGGTGGCACCCATAAATATTGTTTTACATTATATATAAGGGCATAGATAAGTTTAATGTTACATTTAAAAACAATTTAGAAAATAGTGAATATTCTGGACCTGTCATGGCTGTAAGCTCACTCCATACATTTGTGAACACGCACCCTACTTGTATTTACTAAAGCCATACCTGTCAACCTTCCCGTTTTCCCCATTCGCTGTCCTTCGTTTTAAATATCCTCCCGTAAACCTCCTGTATTTTAAACCTTAAAAAAAAAAAGAAATAAAACCCCGCTGTGCATACTTGATATTTTCTACATTCCTCTCCAGTAAAGCCAGAGGCAGTTTGTAGAACGTTACAGAACAGCACCTGGCAATAAAACAACTAGAAGAAGAACAGCAGCGTGAGGGCTCTACACTCGCATATTCCCCTGAAATTAGATGCGTTCAAACTGGAAAAACTATGTACGAGTAAAGACTGCAACCTACATGAATTGTTCTGCATGAATGGTTATGATTATTGACGAGTTAGTTCTTAGCATTAATACATTAGAGACCGGTGTGCAGTGTTTTTCTTGCACAGGAATTTAATGAATAAAAACAACCCACAAAAAAAGGGTTTCCTGGAAATTTCCCTTATTATTTTCCTATATTTACAAATCCTAAAGTTGACAGGTATGACTAAAGGTAAGCTTGTGTTGTCCTGCATTGCCAGATTGGAATGTGACCCAGAATTTCACAACGGTAAGCTTGAATGTGCTGCATATGATGCCTGTCCTCTCCTGTCTCATGAGCTTCTTCTCGCCCCTAAACCCTGTCCGCAGAGGCCATGTCAGCTGGTGACAGCCATGAAGAAGGCAGACTGGTCTATCGTTACGGAGGCGAGCCAGTCGGAGCTTTTGTCCAGCCTAGTCTCCGCCCACTGATCCCCTCCATCGCCCACGCCATGTTCCTTGATGTAACCCACGACAATGAATGTCCCATACAGGTGGGTCTCTGTCGGGGTAGGATGGGATTAAACAACAGAAGATAACCATTTGGTTTAGTATGCATTATTTCTCATCAAGAATTTAATTCTCATTGTCCCTGCAATGTTATTTCATAGTAATCTTCAATCTGTTGCTGCTTTTTGTACCTTTTTAAACAAAACATGACATGATGGCCTCTGGATGTCAGGTGTATACAGTGACTGCTCTGTCTGTTATACAGCTGCGCTCAGCGCTGGACTCCCTCCCCAGCTCTGCTATGGTCTCTATGGCTTGCTGTGCTACTGGTTCCACCAGAGGATACGATGAATTAGTGCCACATCAGGTCATTTACACACACACGCATACAAGCATCTCATTAAATGACAAATCTGATATAATTGATGTGTTTTCGGTCTTCATAAAAAAATAATTCTCCATTTAATGCAAATATGGTTAATGCTAGTTTGTCTAAAGTTGTGACTTCTGTTTGAAAAACTAGTTGTAGAGCTATAGTGTCACAATAAACAGTGAGCTGGCTAGTTTCCTGCAGGCACTCAGGTGGTGGTGGGAATTTACCAGACCTTCTCATAAAATGCGTTTCCTTTATTTTCATGATTATTTACATTGTAGATTCTCACTGAAGGCATCAAAACTATGAATGAACACATGGAATTATGTACCTAACAAAAAAGTGTGAAATAACTGAAAACATGTCTTATATTGTAGTCTCTTCAAAGTAGCCACCCTTTGCTCTGATTACTGCTTTGCACACTCTTGGCATTCTCTTGATGAGCTTCAAGAGGTAGTCTCCTGAAATGGTTTTCCAACAGTCTTGAAGGAGTTCCCAGAGATGCTTAGCACTTGTTGGCCCTTTTGCCTTCACTCTGCGGTCCAGCTCACCCCAAACCAACTCGATTGGGTTCAGATCCGGTGACTGTGGAGGCCAGGTCATCAACACTCCATCACTCTCCTTCTTGGTCAAATAGCCCTTACACAGCCTGGAGGTGTGTTTGGGGTCATTGTCCTGTTGAAAAATAAATGGTGGTCCAACTGCAGCATGTCGCTGCAGGATGCTGTGGTAGCCGTGCTGTCTTAAATTTGGACTCATCAGACCAAAGCACAGATTTCCACTGGTCTAATGTCCATTCCTTGTGTTTCTTGGCCCAAACAAATCTCTTCTGCTTGTTGTCTCTCCTTAGCAGTGGTTTCCTAGCAGCTACTTGACCATGAAGGCCTGATTCGCGCAGTCTCCTCTTAACAGTTGTTCTAGAGATGTGTCTGCTGCTAGAACTCTGTTTGGCGTTCAGCTGGTCTCTAATCTGAGCTGCTGTTAACCTGTGATTTCTGAAGCTGGTGACTCGGATGGTTTGATGGTTTTTGTGGCTGCACTTGGGGACACGTTCAAAGTTGTCGCAATTTTCCAGACTGACTGACCTTCATTTAAAGTTAAAGTAATGATGGCCACTCGTTTCCCTTTACTTAGCTGATTGGTTCTTGCCATAATATGATTTCTAACAGTTGTCCAATAGGGCTGTCGGCTGTTTATCAACCTGACTTCTGCGCAACACAATTGATGGTCCCAGCCCCATTAATAAGGGAAAAAAATCCACTAATTAACCCTAATTAACAAGGCACACCTGTGAAGTGAAAACAATTTCACGTGATTACCTCATGAAGATCATTGAGAGAACATCAAGGGTTTGCGGAGCTATCAAAAAAGCAAAGGGTGGCTACTTTGAGGAATCTAAAATACAAGACATGTTTTCAGTTATTTCACAGTTTTTTGTTAAGTACATAATTCCATATGTGTTCATTCATAGTTTTGATGCCTTCAGTGAGAATCTACAATGTAAATAGTCATGAAAATAAAGAAAACGCATTGAATGAGAAGGTGTGTCCAAACTTTTGGCCTGTACTGTAGTCTCAATGATTTTCTAAAACTAAAATGTATTATTTATTCAAATGAATATATTTATTTATATCCTCATTCCCCAGCACTAAGTGGGATCTAGTAAATTAGTAAAATATACACTTGCTTATGTGCTACTATTTTTACAGGGAAATCAGAAAAACTTTCTTGATCCTAGAGGAAACTCTTTAATATAATCCAAAAAATAAATATAATAAATTAAGATATTCACAATATAATGTATACAAACACTGAGCTACTGTATATGGGGTGAGATAATTATCATCTACATACAGTACCAGGCATATACTGAATAAAGCAAACCTGCTCACCTATTAGAGGCCAAACGCACGGCACCAGAGAGCTTACATTAGTTTGCCAGGTTTATTAACATAAAGCTGAGTAATCAGGCTTACATGGAAACATCACAGGAATCTCCAAACGAAGGGTTAAGTCCACAAAACAAAGCAGCAATCCAGACAGAGCCTTCAACACATGATGATGACCGGACAACGACTGAACAGAACTGACGGCCATTTAAACGCAGGCAAACGAGCAGGACGGGAGCACAAACAGGAGACATAAATCAGGGGAATCAGACTGCTGATGGCACGCTAAGTTCAAAACAAGACAGGGAACAGAGCAAAATGCAGAAACACAACAATCCCATAGACAAAAGCTAACTGAACAGGCGCATGGCCACAAAAAAAAACGATAAACAGAACAAAATAATAAGCACTGACAGGATTGTGACACATTAGTAGATTAACACACTGCCCTCATAATGCTTGGTGTGTGTGTGCAGATCTCTGTGGTGAAGGAGGAACGTTTTTACCCGAAGTGGAACGCCTCGGCGTCCCACACCTCCACTGGTGAGGTCGGACTCCAGACTGGCATCATAGCTGGGAAACTGGCTCTCAACAAGCTGCACCAGGAACTGGCTGCTCAGGGATTCATACAGGTACCATAATGGGCTTTCTGTGTGTGTGTGCTGGATGCTAATTGTTGTTGTGTTTCTGCACTGCCTTTTCCTAGAGATCACCTATCAGTGAACAGCTAGTTTAACCTCTAATCTTCTTCCTCTCCAGGTGTATGTAGACCAGGTTGATGCAGATATTGTCGCAGTTACACGTCATTGTCCCAGCACACACCAGTCAGTGGTGTCCGTGTGCAGAACCGCCTTCTGGAACCCCAAAACCCACCAGTACGACACCAACGTCCCGCCCATGTTCATCCCCGGTATGTTCAAATCAAGTATTCATGTTGCATTGTCTTTAAATCGTGCAAGATTTTGTCAAAGAGTCTGTGAACCAGGTTTTCCAACAAGGATTCCTCAAAGCTGAGAATATTTCTCCCCCCTCCCCCATGTGTGTCTCCCTCTAAAGGGAAGATAGAGGAAGTGGTACTGGAGGCAAGGACAGTAGCAAGGGATGCTGGGAGTTACAAGAAGGATGACAAATACATCAACGGCATGCCAGAATACACAGTGGAAATAAAAGAGCACATACCGGTAAATATAGCTATGGTCATGTATCACTGAAATACATGGGCCTATAAAGAAAATAATATATATGTGTGTGTATATGTTTATATAGTTACAAGAGAGTACAGTGGTGAAGCAGGCTGGAGTGACATCTAAAGGTCGATCAGAGTTTGTGCAGGAAATCACCTTTCAGAAGTTGACACCCGGCAGCGTCATTGCCTTCAGGTAAACCACAGACCCACAAAAAAAGTCAGCACAAAATCAAAATCAGTACAGTTTGCATCTTCGCTAAAGAATTTATAATTTTTTTATTGTTTAAATTAAATGTACTAGCATTGTTCATTTTGGTCAGCTGTTTTTATGTCTCTCTCACAGAGTTAGTTTGGACCCCAAGGCCCAGAAGCTGGTGGGGGTGCTGAGGTATTATCTGTCCCAGTTCAGCCCAAAATACAGGAGAGGCAGCGTAGCAGACGAAAACACACCAGAAGCCCTGCAGAAACCCCTGGCACAGTGAGTACGCATATAAACATCGCTCACGCTCCAAGGGGACATGACTTTTTGGAGCTGTTGTTGTATTCGTTCTCAGGATATAGTAAAGGTAAAACCTGAAAACCTTAACTTGGATTTTCATTTACTTGGAAGAATGAAATGAATCGTGATCGATGAGAGTCACTCAACTTTAAAGCGACCTGATTTTACAAATTGTGTTTACAGTAGAGTACCACTGCACATCTAAAATAAGGTCTGTGAAACCTTTTGTGTCTTCAAACGGAGCGGGGCAAAATCTGAAGTATTCAAAACCTTTAAGGGTAATAAGGTTCGCATATTTTGGTGTAGAAATAACAAGTAGGTAGAAAACGTTTTTGAATCCGTGCAGTAGATGGCTTCAGCCGGCAGCTGAACCGGCTGCAGAGGCTGCAACGTATTCCTTTGGGGTAATTGAGCCTGTTAAAATTACGTCCACAAAAAGTGCTTTTTTTTTTTGCCACAGACAGTCTCAGACTGTTATACCAGGTGTCTGACAACATAATGGAAAGGATCCCTATGGGTGACTCCCGGTGACACAAGTCTCGCTCTGAAATCTCGTGAGAGGCGAGCAGTTGCAGGAAGACAAAGCACTTTTGGCCGTGACTCTTATTGGAATGACACAACAAGCTTTGCGCATCTGGATTTGGGGATTCCTGTCGGTTCCTTGCAGGCTATCGTGTCTTTCACTGAGGAGAAGCCTGGTCATTCAGCCATAAAGTCCAGATCGGTGGAGTGCTGCAGTGATGTCTGTCCCTCTGGAAGTTTCTTTCTCTCCTGAAGCTCAGGCAGAGTGACCGACAGCTTCTTGCTCACCTCTCGTACTAAGGCCTTTCTCCACTCTTAGAAAGAGTCCTGGTTGTTTTAAACTTCTTCCATTTATATGCAGCAGACATTTTTTCTTCCCCAGATCTATGCCTGGACACAATCCTGTCTCTGAGCTCTGCAGGCAGTCCCGTCAACCTCATGGCTTGGTTTCACACCAAGTACAGATTTGATTTAGATTTTTCTTCTGTTCACTCATTTTGCATTTTTCCGGTTGGTAAATATAATCATTAAACATTTCTATTTTTGAAAGCATGTGTTCTTTGCTAAAACCTTTTGCTCAGTACTGAGCATTGTCAGCTGTGAGACCTCATGTAGAGAGGTGTGTGCGTTTCCAAAATAACGTCATATCAATTGAATTTTCAGTCTGGGTGTAGAAACACGGGAGACACCTAAAGTACATATAAAGTGTCATAGCAAAGAGTCTGAATACTTATTGATATTTTAGTATTTTTAATAAATAAAAACTGATTCTGAGTCAGAATCCTTTGTGAATACACTGTATGATACTGTCAGACAGGTTGGAGTAAAAGTAAAGCTGCACATGTGAACTGTTTATTTTAAAGCTGTGTGTTTCTTCACAGGCTGATGTCTAAGCTGACATTGGCAGACCTGAACATCCTGCTGTTTCGCTGCGACTCAGAAGAACAAGAAGATGGTGGAGGCTGTTATAACATCCCAGGATGGGAGAGCCTGAAATATGCTGGGCTACAAGGTAGTTACACAGCAGCTACTGTTCTATATTTTGTTCAAGGGAGTTCACATTCAAGGCCAACGACAAAAGAAACCGTAAACAGTTGTTTTTAGATTGAACAGTACCTTTCAACTAGAGCTGCACGATTAATTTAATCGAATCTAAAAAACTGCGATGTCATCTTCTGTGATTACATACAGGCCCTATTTCCAGAAAAGTTTGGATTTTCCAAAATGTAATACAAACAAAAATCTAAGATTTGTTCATTCACGAACGTTTGTTTAACTGACAAATGTAAGAAGAAAAGAATTTCATATGTAAAGATAAAGTTAGAATTTCATCCCTGCAACACGCTCAACAAAAGTTAGGACAGAAATTAATAATAATAATAATAATAATAATATATAAGTAACACCTGTTTGATAAGCGTGTCTGGGACAAAATCTTATCAAATGGAGATCTGTGGTCTAATTTGTGTCAGTTGTGTCATTTAGGTTGATTTTGAATACCACTCAAGATTTGGGTAAACCACAAAAAGACTGAATGCAAGGCAAGAGAATAAATATACTACTGTGTACCTTAATGCTTTGTCCTGTCAGTATGTATATATCTTGCACAAAGTTTCATTTTAGTCCTTTTTTGCCCATATTAACACTGTTTGTACTGATTGTATTTTAGCTTTTTTGTGGGGAAGAAGAAATAGAAATAAAAAGTAATCTTTTTAATCATTTCATGTGAAAAATACATGTTTTGAGTAGTGAGATTTTTGTGTATTTTTTATTTTATTTTATTTTTTCACTTTTTTTTCATTGGACAAAATTCCACAAATGTGTAAAAAGGAAGTTACAAATGTAACATGACCCACAAATTGACAGAAAGCAATCTGCAAATGTGCAAGAACTGTTTTGTGTGAAGAAGTCACTGTATTTTTGTTGATATGATTAAAATACACATCACAAATGTAAAAATACATATTTTTAGATTGTGAAATATTTGCGCATCATAGTACACATTTGTGTATTTTTTTTTTTTGCTGTGGATTACAAATATTAAAGTCCAATAAAATCTTCCATAGAAATGCAACCTGAAACTGTGTTACGTAAAGAGGAAGCCGTACATCAATAGTATGCAGAGACGTCGCTGCGTGCTTTGGGCCGGGGGTGATGTCAGATGAACCGAAGGTTGTGAAACAGTGTTCTGTGGTCGGATGAGTCCGCACTTTGGCTTGGTTTTGGGAAAAACAGACATTGAGTTCTCTGTACCCAAGATGAAAAAGACAGGATAGGAAAAAGACGGGATTGTTATCAGTGATAGGTTGTGGATAGAGCGTCTGCAGTGGACATATGTAGGTTTAGCCAGAGCCAGGATCCCATGTGCTCCTTTCAGCCGCCGCCTCCTGAGAGCAACACGCTCAGTAACCTTGTTTACATAAAATGTGGCGTGGGTTGCGTCGGTGCTGCTGGTATCTGTCCCACATTCCACAAGCTGCAGTGTCCCATGTTTTGTACAAAAAAAAAATATATATATAATCTTTAAAAAACTGTACAACTGCATAATGTATCAACAACATGCATTAAACATCTTTTACATCACACCACAAACAAACCTCTGGGCCTTGAACTTGAAATTTCTCTCATTACTGGCCTAATTTGACAGGAGTGCTGTTGTGTCTCTGCAGGTCTGATCTCAGTGTTGGCTGATATCCGTCCCAACAATGACCTGGGCCATCCTGTGTGTGCTAATCTCAGACAGGGGGACTGGCTGATAGACTTTGTCTCCAACAGACTGAAAAACAGAGAGGGAACCCTGGGACAGGTGAGGCTTTCACAGCTTTTACAACAAAATTTTTTTCTTTTATTTATCTCTGCTGGTGTCTAAGTCATGTAGAAAGATTTGACTCTGATATTTCTGCTCAGATTTTCAGGCAATGAAGGTTTAGGGAATTTTATTTATGGTGCGCAAAGCATTGAAATGTGTCGAGGGTGCTGCTAACACCGACAGATGCACAATTTGTGCACATTCTTCATTTTGTGCATAGGAGATATTCAGAATGTGCATAGTATTCTAGTTTTTTTTAACCTACTCATTTACGGTATGCATCTGTTCTTCTACTGCTGTGACACTTTAATCTCATCTTAAAGCCAGACATTGTTTCTGCTGTTGAATTTTTCATTTTACACTGCTGTGAGCATCAAAGACTCAAAAGACTGAAACTTTCTGCATGAGCAGATATCAGTAGGGGTTAGGATATGTGAGAAAATGTGTATTTTATCATTTGGGTGAACTGAGCGTTTAAAACAACAGACCCACCTCCCTGCCTGCTGTCTCATTGCTCAATGGAAGGTAATACTTACGCAGGATCGCTCAAGAGACAGCGACAGAATGAATATGAAGACAGATGCCTGAATATTCCCGGAGCTACACGTCTGGCATATAGTCTAGAAAATAAAGATTTATACTCAAGTACTTCATTTGTCCCTCAGATGGGTAAAAGCACTAAATGAAGTGTCCACAGTCCTTAAGCTGATCCTGGAACAGACTGTAACGTTATGTGTCTGCAGGTGGGTCAGTGGTTGGAAGCCATGTTTAACTACCTGAAACACATCCCACGCTACCTCATCCCCTGTTACTTTGATGCCATCCTGGTATCAACCTACACCACCGCCCTGGACGCAACTCACAAACTCATGTCGAGGTAGGATCCATTATGGGTTTTGCATTGTTGAGATCTGAAAGCACATTTCCTGCTTTCTTGCTGATTTTTCCGTCTCCTCGTTAAAACAGTTTTGTCCAGAATGGCTCCAGCTTTGTTCATCACCTGGCACTGGGTTCAGTTCAGATGTGCGGTGTTGGACGCTTCCCTGCGCTCCCTCCTCTTTCTACCAAACTGGAGGACGTTCCCTACCGCATCAATCCAATCACAGGCCAGAAGGAGCAGTGCTGCGTCTCATTGGCTGCAGGTAGCTTATCAACAGACACATAATGTTGTCTCTCCATGTCATCATTTAGGACTAAGTAAACTGAAAAGATACATATGTGTATCTTACAAATTTGTAATAAAAAAAACTTGACTAAACTGAACTCACACACACAAAATTATTTAACAAAATTAGTTTTTGCCCCCATTCAATTCAAATCAGCTTTATTGGCATGAATGTATAACAATATTGCCAAAGCTACAAATAAATTACATAAGAACAATTAATTTCATACATTTCATTAAATAAGTAACTAAAACAGTAAAAGTTGTTTGTGTGTGTTAATAAAGATAAAATAATAATAAATAAATAATAAAAATTATGTAAAAGTGAATATTAAAAATAAAAGTAACTAAATAAAACTGTGTGTGTGTGTGTTTAAAATTTTTTTTTATTTAAATAAATTCATCATGAGCTGAACTCAAAGATCTAAGACTTTCTCTATGTACACTAAAGGCCTATTTCTCTCAAATCTGTCAAAATCTGTGTAAGTGAGCACTTCTCCTTTGCCGAGATAATCCATGTGGCATATCAAGATGCTGATCAGACAGCAGGGGGATTGCACAGGTGTGCCTTAGGCTGGCCACAATAAAAGGCCTTAGGCTGGCCACAATAAAAGGCCTTAGGCTGGCCACAATAAAAGGCCTTAGGCTGGCCACAATAAAAGGCCTTAGGCCTGCCACAATAAAAGCACATCCCCATCTTTGTGGAGGTGTGCATCAGGCTACGGCGTAGATTTGCACAGAAGTATAAATCAGGCTTTACAGTCATGTCAGACAATGGAAGCGATCCTGCTCCCAGCACTTCCTGTAGTTCCCTGCAGTTACAAATGAACGACCAGAAATGTTCTTAAGGGGAAGATTGCTATCTCTCCCCTACGAACATCTCTGGAACGACGCACCAACGCTGAAATTCCACGGCGACGTATTTGTATTTTAGACATCGTTGATTATGTTGACTAATCGTTGCAGTCCTTAATATACTGCAATTTCCCTGTAGGCATGAATAAAATATCTATCCACACACTCAATTAACTGATGTACTAATTGATGTTCTTTAGGTCTTCCTCATTTCTCCTCTGGAATTTTCCGTTGCTGGGGCAGAGACACTTTCATCGCTCTCAGAGGACTGTTGCTGCTCACCGGGAGACACACTGAGGCTCGGTAAGTATTAGGGATGGGTATCGAGTAAACAGCCCAGTATCGAGTAGTATTGAAACGTCTCCAGTCAAACCGGTACTTCATTCGATACTTTTTGTAAACGGATCGCGGCAAAACATGACTATTTGTATGGTTACGCTCGCTGCCAAACACACAAACATCACACTGAAAGAAAGAGAAGTGTACGGCTCTTTTTTTCCCCCTTATGTGCCTGAATCCGCTTGTAAGTCCATGCCAGATTTTAACAGCCCCTTCGCCTTCGACTGCGGTCTCAGCCGTGTTCGTCACTGTTGAAAGTTCATCTCCACAAGCTTGGCTTTCTGTTGGTTTCATCTTCTAGTATCATTCAACACTACGCTATGCGTTTTTATTTGCTGTTGACATCACTTGTGACCCTTGATCGCTGCGTTCCATCACATCACTTAAACGCTTTTTGTGGCGCATCAGCGATCAGCTGATTTTTTTTTTTCTCACGGAGCCTCTGGCTGCGGCTGATATCAGATGTAGTCTGTGGGATCAGCTGGATGTGCAGACTCTCTTTTCCTCTGTGTTCTTTTTAGACTAGTTTAGTGACTCGTTTCCGACTTACTGCCGTCTTTTTTTTAGAGGATGTTTGCGACTCACCACTAAAGGTAACCGCACTCGCGGTGATCTTTCAATTCACTTTATTATTTGAAAGTTAACAAAATAATTCTCCGTGGTTGACTTTCAACAAACTTATGAAAACTAAAATTAGTTTTCCACAACCCGTGTGGTCACTACACTGTTTCCCTCCTCCTCTCCCAATCTTCTTTCCTCTGAGGATGAGCTAGTTAGGATGAGGAGCGATCTGATTCAATTTCCCAATATTTTTATAAAAAATTTTGAAAAAAAGAAATAGATCTCCTTGCTTGTCCATAAAAACAACAAAAAAATAGCAAGGTATCGAATGAAGTGCTCTATTGGCATCGGTATCACTTTAAGGGTACTGGTTTTGCTACATTTTGAATGTTAGTAATAAGAAAAATCTAAAAATATTTTGGTTTTCTGTAAATTTTTCTTCTTTAAAAGTGTCCTTTTTTCTTTTTGAATATCTGCACTAAATTTAATTAGCCAGCAGCATCATCCCTCTGCAAAAAGCCCACAGTAACTAAACTCAAACATTAACCATTCTGTCTCATGGTCCCCATAGTAACATCATCCTGGCCTTTGCGGGGACGTTGCGTCACGGTTTGATCCCCAACCTGCTGGGTGAGGGTCGCTCTGCTAGATACAACTGTCGTGATGCCGTGTGGTGGTGGCTGCAGTGCATCCAGGTAGGAGGACAGAAAATAATGTGACACTAGATGTAGAGAAGTGTAAATACATGCTGTAAACACATATTTTTACCTAATACAGTAAAGCTGTTATGGCGAAGGTGTTCGAAACACCCATTTACACTTCCTGCAGACACAGAGAAACATTAACTTTGATTTCAACTTTGTGTCTAACTGTTGAATGTGGGTCTAATTGTCAAGTCATTTGTATTTATAAAGCCTAATATCACAAAGTACAAATATACCTCAGGGGGCTTTACACTCTGTCCAGCATTCGACACCCTCTGGACCCTCAATTCGGCCTGGAGTGCTTAGTTGGGATAATTAATGATCCTTCTAGCCTTATTCTTGCAGCGCCTGGTGCACCTGTTGATATTAAGGGAGGTTTAGTTCCTTCTCTGCTTCTTCCCAAAGTCCACTATAAGTAGGTTCTTGTCTTGATTTGTAATGATAGACTGAAAAAATCTGGTCACGGGTCGACTCTGCAGTGGGTGATTAAAACTGCTCAGAAGATCATTGGTACCCATCTCCCGAGCATCAGTGATATCGGAGCCCAAAGGATACTAAAGGACAGGACCCACCCTGCCACAGCCTGTCCACCCTGCTGCTTCCTAGAAAGAGATGCAGAAGTATCTGCTGTCGTAACCAAGGTTATTATCGTTAACGTAGACGAACGAAATAACGAAAACTAGATGTGGAAAAACATTGTCGTTAACTGAAATGAAAATAAAAACGAGCCGGGGAGACCCAGGTAGGGATCAGCTGGTAGTTGGTGGGATTTGAACATGTTTTCTATCATCACATGTGTAGAAAGTAATATGAATGCATCAACTGTACAGAGTTGTGTTTAGTTCGGGTTGCAGGTAGTGAGTCACTGTCTTGGTGTGTGGGATAAACTTGCCCCTAGTACACTGACTGTGAGCTCCCTTTGCGCTGGGTTAACGTGTCTGCTGGTCATTATATTTACTGCATGTCAGCTAGTGTGTGTTTTACGGTGTCACAAGTCTCTTTGCGCTTCACATTGTTTTAACACCGATTTTTGATAAATAAAGGTTTAGATTTTAATATAACTGCTTTCCAGTCACACTTGCCTTCAGGGTGCTAGGGACCTGTTGTTTTTGGCTCCAAGCGAAGCCTCCACTGTCTTTGCTCTCAGGGTTAGAAATTATACTGTAGATTGCATGTGCTTCATTCCTTTGTATTATTTATTTAGACAATATGTCTAAAATAAATAAATAAATAAATAAAAATAAAAAAATTAAAATAAATAAATAAAATAAAAAATAAATAAAAAAATATATATGTCAAATATATATTTGCTTATTGTTTGGGCCCCTATGTACAAGCTTCAGATAGCTTAAAAAAAGGGTGTCCCTTTTCACAAATCTGCATTATTTCTAATGATTGTAATTGACTGATGTAAATGACTGAACTGACTAACCTGAACGGAGCTTGGCACCCTGCAGCGACAAAGACTAAAACTAACACTGAAACTAATAAAAAGTAAGCATTTTCAAAAAATAAAAACCGAACTAAACTAGAAAACCCGCGTTAAAAACTAATTAAAACTAAACTGAAATTGAAAACAAAAAGTCAAAACGAAATACAAATAAAAACTCTAAAACTATAATAACCTTGGTCGTAACACCAGACTGCAGAGCAGCTCCAGCATAAATAAATGACGGGGCGCTTTCTGTTATGCTGGTTCTGCACATTGCACACTGTTGCTTTTGCTGTTGATCTGCAAAATGATTTGTTATTATATTTTAGAAAGGTCGTATCCAAATGTTTTCTAACCACATTATTCAAATTAATGGATAAGTAAAAAATTTTTACAAATATGTGTATGCTCAAATATATCACAGTATAACAATGTACTTTATTACGTATATATACTTACTGTGTACTTTTTGTTCAGGACTACGCCACCCACGTTCCTCAAGGGCAGGAAATCCTTTGCTGTCCTGTCACACGCATGTATCCTAATGATGACAGTGAACCCTGCAAACCTGGAGAGGTGGTAGGTACAACTGAGACGCACACAAAAACACACACACACACACACACACACACTCACAGATCCGGGTTAGCAGCGTACTCTGCTGTGTCTTTCCTAAATACTACCACTATGAGTCACTAGAGTTAAAAATGTTCAAACCCTACACACACTCATTTCAATCAAAACTCCATCACCATCCTCATCATCTAACTGATGTGCGACTTCACATGCACAGTAAACTTTATATTTGTGTGTGCGTGTAGGAGCAGCCTCTGCATGATGTGATCCAGGAGGCTCTGCAGCGACACCTGGAGGGAATTTCCTTCAGGGAGAGAAACGCTGGACCCAAGCTGGACATGAACATGAGAGATGAAGGTAGGACAGGAAGTCTGTGTTAAACCATCAGCAAGTTACTCAGGAATTGTAATAAGTTAGTATTTACTTATTACTCCTTAAAAAAAACTAATTATATTACTTTACTTATTACTGGGTATAAATAGTAACTCATTACGTTACTAGATATAGAAAGTGACGGACAGCCTGTTCAGCAGCTCATTTTAGAAATGAACCCACTTTACTGGAACAATAATTAACCTGAGGAGTCAACAAGCAGCCAGGCTGCGGCCTCTCAGACCAGATGATGCTGTACAGTACAGGCTCTGTATTTACATATAAAATAAACAAAGCAAGTCTCTCCCGAATTTTTAACTAACAGCATATTCATAACAGCAGCAGGGAGTGGGGTTTATTACAAAACATATAATGTTGGCTGACATAAAGAAAGCAAGTCCCTCTCGACTTTTGAACTACTCTGTTTCTGTACATGTACTAATAAGAGCAGTATTCAGTGTTACAAAACATCAAACGTTACGTTAACGCCACTCTCTACCAACGAGCCCAAGCATCACTGGCAGCAGCGGCCGGAGTTTCTTTCTACAAGTGTCATGTTGCTGTGCTGCTTCAGCAGATGCTTCAATACATTAGATGTAGAATTGTTGGCTGTTTAAACCTTTTTACTGGTCGCACAAAGTTTACAACGGACAGCAACGTTCTTTGTGTCTTAGACTATGACACAGTAATGGTTAAACGCCTCTCTCCCTCGTTCTCCTTTCTTCCTTTAGCTTTTTGTCAAACAACACAACGTCCAGCTTCTCCACTCTTTTTAAAATTCTTTTATTATTTAACCTTTATTTAAAGTCTCATTAAGATTAAAATCTCTTTTGCAAGAGAGATCTGGCCAAGACGCAGCATAAAAGAACATAAAGAACAGTTTCCAACATATAAAAGACATCAAGTACAAGTACATATAAGACAAGCCCCTGTGTTGAATAAGGCAGAATACAACTTTGTAAACGGCAACATTGAGCAATGTTGAAACAAACTGTCTATAAGAAATAAAGGCAGTCAGTTTCACCGAGTTCTGAAGAAGGTTCCAAGCAGAAGATGCAGCAAACATGAAGGCTTTTTTACCTAATTCTGTTCGGACACGGGGGACCAACAAGTGTAGGACGTCCTCTGAACGTAATCCATAATGGCCTTGAGTACTTGTTAAAAAGACCCTCAAATGGGTCGGAGCTAGTCCAAGAAGTGCCTTACAGTGCCTATTCTAATATGGGAAGAAAAGTGGCCGTCACCAGGTATTTTCTAGCACGAATGGATAAGCATGATTTTGATCTGTAGAGAAAGCCAAGCTTTATCTTGAGCTTAGAAATCAGGTTGCTAATATGAGTTCTGAAACAGTTTACAACCAGTGATTATACCTAAATATTTATAACTCTTAACTCAATTTAATTTCCTTCAAAAGTTGAGATGCTTGAAGTAGTAACTGGAAGTTGCTTTGGACTTTTCTGCATTTAAGACCAACTTAAGCTGTTTTAAACGGTTCTGAACAATATTGAAAGCAGACTGCAAAAGATCAAGGGCTTATGCACTAGATGATGCAGTACAGTAAATAACAGTGTCATCAGCATAAAAATGATACATAGCATTCAATAGATTATCACAAAGATTGTTTATATAAATTGAAAACAATATGGGCCCAAGTACTGAGCCTTGAGGAACCCCATTGGAAATGGGCAAAAAGGAAGAGAAAGATCCAACCATCTGAACACTTTGGGTTCTACCTGACAGATAATTTGCAAACCAATCTACTGAATGCTTAGACAGGCCAATGCTCAGTAGTTTATTTAGCAGAATGCAGTGATCAACTGTATCAAAAGCTTTTGAAAGATCTATGAACAGTGCAGTGCACATTTTCTTGTTATCCAGTGCCCCAACAATATCATTTATCCCTTTCAATGCTGCCGATATGGTGCTGTGTTGTTTCCTAAAACCAGATTGAAAGGGGGATAAGACATCATTTGAATTTAAAAATTCCTTTAGCTGCTCACCAACCAAACGTTCAGGGAGCTTGGCTAAAACACACAGCTTGGAAATAGGCCTATAGTTGTTTAAAATAGAGGGATCGCCCCCTTTTAGTAGGGGTGTAACAGGGGCTGACTTCCATTCTTTTATATCTTTATATCTTTTTCAATAGAGGCTCTGCAATGAAGTCAGCTGCTAACTTTAGAAAGAAGGGATCAAGTTTATCAGGACCAGCAGACTTTTTTGTGTCCAATTCCTGAAGAGCTCTATGGACTTTGGAAACTGATAGAGGAGAAATATAAAATAGTTTGTCAAGAGGTAAACACAGGTCAGAACTGCAGCTGTCCTGCATCGCAGTCACACTAATGTGGCATTACTTGGATTAGTAACTGTAATATTATTACTGTTTTGGAAATAGTAAAACCTTGAACTACTAATTTCTGGGAAAAGTAATAATATTACAGTAACGCGTTACTGGCCAACACTGTATGATATTCAGTAATAGTGTTCTTGGAGGTGTCCCAGTGAAAGAAAATGAACATCACAGTCATTCTTCACAGTGCCAAAAAAGCTTTACAAATCATTTTCTGGCACCACATGGAGCCACTGGAAACATTAGATCAGTGAACACCAGCAGCTTTCCAAACGATCCTCCAGTACCAGTATTTCTCTGCTCTTCTCTGGCTTTCCAGGGTTCAGCGTGGCTGTTAAGGTGGATCCAGCCACAGGATTCGTGACTGGAGGCAACCGCTTTAACTGCGGTACATGGATGGACAAAATGGGAGAGAGCGAGAGAGCGAGGAACAAAGGCATGCCCGCTACTCCAAGGTAACGGGCACACAAACTGATCACACACACCCACACACACTCCCTCACGTTTTTTGGGGAATTCCAGTTAAGAGAAATTGTGGTGTGAATTTTTTACTATTTTCTAAAGTTTTATAGACTAAATAATGAATCAAATAATTAAAAAACATCAGTAAGAGATCAGTAAAGAATGAAAATATTAGTTACTTACAGCCTAATTTGTTTCCTGAATCGCTTTTTCTGTCCAGAGATGGAGCGGCAGTGGAGATAGTTGGTCTCAGTAAGTCAGCAGTTCGCTGGGTGGTGGAGCTCCATGACAAAGGACTGTTCCCTTATGATGGAGCTAAAGTGCACAGAGATGGTATCACACACACACACACACATACACACCTGTATTCAGATAAAGAAATGTCTCCTGCACTCGTTACACCAGCCACCTCTAATAAACACTTTTCAGGTACAGAAGCATTTATCTCGTACGCCCAGTGGAACCAGCAGCTCCAGCAGTCCTTTGAAGCAGGTTACTGGGTGTCCGGGGACCCAAATGACCCCAATGAGAAACACCCTGATCTGGTGCATAAGAGAGGCATCTATAAGGACAGCTATGGAGCCTCCAGCCCCTGGTGTGACTACCAGCTGAGACCCAACTTCACTATTGCCATGGTGGTGGTAAGTCGACAGAGCCAGGTGTCTGAATAATCTGTAGCTGTTTGTGATGTTGTTGGTTAATAAGTCTGTTTAGTAACTAGATCACTGATTGGCTGATTGATAGATCTATGTGTTTAAAGGCTCCAGAGCTGTTTACAGTGGAGAGAGCCTGGAAGGCTCTGGAAGTGGCTGAGAAGAAGCTACTGGGACCACTGGGAATGAAGACTCTTGACCCTGAGTAATATATATCTCCTCACACTCCCACAAACAGAGGATCTCTTTGAACACATGTCGCGGTTCTTCTTTAATCCCCCTGACTTCTAAATGATGTCATGTCTTAAAGCTTAAAAATAAACATTTCACAGGACTCCAGACTAGCTTTTTGCATTGGTCGCACTGGTGCACCTAAAATGTTTCACTCCCACAAAATTTAGGAGCATCCAGATTTTTCACAGTACCTTTAGCACCATAAAGCCCTGGATATACTTGCTTTTTAACAATGCGTAGGCGTAGACAGGCGTCGGCGACGCAAATGGCTTTGTTCACATATTGTCTGCGTACTTTGCGTGTAACTGAAGGATGAAGCGTGAATCCACTAGAGGGCAGACCAGGACCACAACCGGATTATCTTCCTCCGACAACCTCTGAATTTACACATCGTAAACAAACACAACAACAGGTTGTGATTTTAATGAGACATCATAATAATCTCGCTAACTGTGAACATCCCGCCATTAATCTCCTTTTTTAAAGTCTGCTGCTGACCTTCTTCTTCTTTTGGGTTTAATGGCGGTTGGCAAACCAACTGACTGTAAACAGGAACACCTGCAGGTAAATGTTTGTCTTTGTTTGAATCACAGCACAAACAAAAAATGGCCAAAACTTCATTGTTGTAAAACAAAATAAAAAAAAAAATACAGCATCACATTTTCTCCAGCTCCCAGGAAGTGCTCCATTCTTTAAAGCCAGTTTTACTAGTGGCCAAACAAGCGGCTGTAAAATAGTGGACACTTTCTTTTGAGCGTAACAACCCGGATCAGAATTTAATCCATTCGGTCGATAACATTTAGAAGAGCCACACGATTATTTTCCAAGTTAGCTGAGGGCTAAACAGGAAGTTAGCCGGCTCACGAGCAGAAATCAACGCACTGGAGCATAGAAACCCGGCTAGTGTTTTGGTGTGTAATTGAACAAGAATAAATGTGAGGGTACGGTAGGTAGTCTAAATCCAGCGCCCCTTCTCAGCTTTTGATTGGCTCTCACCTCCTACAGACAGAGATGCGGCCGACAAAAGTTGTCCTGTCAAATGTTAGGTGCACCAGTGCGACCAAGAAAAAAGTTTAGCAGCAGCAGTGGATTAGTAGTTTTTCTCGTACACGTACAGTAGAATTGCTGTATTTATGTCTTCATCATATTGTTTGTTTTATATTCATCCTCATACTGACGTTGTTTTTGTGTTGTCCTAGTGACATGGTGTACTGTGGTGTCTATGACAACTCTCTGGACAACGACAACTACAACCTTGCAAAAGGCTTCAACTACCACCAAGGACCTGTGAGTCTGACTCAGCCTGCACTGGGATTTAATAAGAAAAACACTCCAGGAGTTGGTCTAAAGCTCTCCAGACACTTTTACTTATAGGTCCTTTTATTGAAGAAGATAGCCAACAGGATCAGGTCGCTGAAGTCCAACAAGACATTTTGAACTTGAACTATATAGAACGGCAACGATAAATCGATTAGTGGTCGACTATTAAATTAATCACCAACTATTTTAATAATCGGTTTGATTAAAAATTCTCTGATTCTTTACTCCTCTGTGACAATAAACTGAATCGATGATGATCGACCATTATTTTTACCAATTTCTGACATTTTATAGAACAAACAACTGATTAATTGAGAAATGAATCGTCAGATTAATCGAAAATGAAAATAATTGCTAGTTGCAGCCCTGGGACTATAGTATACAGCCATCTATTCAATAATTTCATGCTACAAATGTATTGATAGAATACTTTGACATGGTTTTTATAACAGAATATTTTTGAAAGTTCCAAAAAGTGCAAATCAGACTAAACTGGAATGGAAAGGAGGTAGCAATGAAAAAAACGCCATACAGCAACCAGAAATAGACAATGACGAAACCAAGAACCTTTGAAGCCGCTCAGCTAGCAAACGTGCAGGCAAAGTAATAATAATGCATCCTGAAGAAACGTGCTGTTTGGACCTGATTCTACGGGAGCTTAGGGGGTTTTCACCGGGATAATAAAGAGCAGCTTTAGGACAGTAATGGGTAAATTATAAAAAGTGAACACTGAGGAGAGAAACCAAAACACATAAGATATCCTAACAGAAATGCTGAAGCTACAAGTCAATAAGTGACCAGGAAAGCTGCTCTGAGCCGAGAACTTTAGGACATACAGAGTTCCTGAGGGAGCAGAAAACAAGTGGCCATCACTGGTCTTCTTTATGGAAAAGTTACTCCGAGAAAATCTTGACAAAACTACAATTTCTCTATCCTTCCTTTGATTTGCGGCGCAGCACTAATATCTTTTATTTATAATAACCAACTCTCTTGTGTGTGTTTGTAGGAGTGGCTGTGGCCTGTAGGCTACTTCCTGCGTGCTAAACTCTACTTTGCCAAGAAGCTGGGAGAAGAAACCTACGCTAAAACAGTCACCCTGGTGAAAAACGTTCTGTCACGACACTACACACACCTGGAGAGGTAGGACTGTCTTCCGTTTCCCCATCTGCAGTTTCAAAATAGCTTACTTAGCTTCTCTCTCCTCCTGTACCTTCTTTTCATTTCATATCCTTTTTCAAATCTAAAAACTGATCATTTTACCTTCAGAATCAAACCAGATAAAAGTCTTGCTAATGTGTCGTACTGTACAATTTATCAAGCGTTGGTTCGGGCAGGCTACAAAGTCAGGCTCGGCTCATATCAGCGGATAGCAGCCATTTTAAGCAGGCCACATCTGCTGACAGCTGAGCTGATTCCTCTCTTAGCATTCATTGGAAAATTCAGTACAAGGTGCCTTGTTTAAGCTGCTGCAGCCTGCCTGCCCTCGCTTCCTCTGCAAGCTGCTTGTAACCCGCCGCCCCAGCTCCTCCTCTCAGGCCATATCAGATTAATCATTGCTTTTTTTTTTTACCGCCAAACTTACTGTGCCCAAAAATCAGTTTAAAAGTCCAGTGTGTCATATTTAGGAGGATCTATTGACATAAATGCAATTTAATATCCATAACTGTGTTTTCAGTGGTGTATAAAGACCTTACATAATGAACCGTTGTGTTTTTATTACCTTAGAATGAGAGATTTCTGCAGAGCGCATTTCATCACTACGTTGAATACGTACGAAGAAGAAGAAGAAGAAGAAGAAAAAGTTTAAGTCGTCTAGTTTATTAGAAGTAAGAAGGAGGACATGTATTATTTAGCAGAAGAGCCGACAGCTTCTCCTGCGCTCATGCAAAGGGAAGGGAGAGCGGCGGCTGAGCAGTTGGTTGCAATTCGCATCGCTCACCACTAGATGCCACTAAAACGTACACACTGAACCTTTGATGCATCACATTTACAAATCGAACATCTCAAAGTTTCTTAGATATAGAATACATTTGAAAACCCAAACAGAATGAATGGAAGGTACTCTAACTGCTCTGTAACGGTTAATGAATCACTTTGTTGCTCTGACCCCTCCGTGTGCCTTCTCAGGTCTCCATGGAAGGGTCTGCCAGAGCTGACCAATGAGAATGGCCAGTACTGCCCGTTCAGCTGCGAGACCCAGGCGTGGTCTCTGGCCACCGTTCTGGAGGTCCTCTATGACCTCTGAATGGCCGACACCCTGTCTTACTTCCTGAAGCAGAAGTTTCACTGAAGAGGAATGTCACTTTGAAACACGAAGCTGGCTGTGAGTAGAAACACGCAGAGAGCACCTGGCCTTCTCTGTTTCCACCGTTGTTTATACAGATTGATGCGGGAACGGCCTATCATTGGATGCTTCAAATTACATTTATATACAATAAATATATGACAGAATATTATGTGATTTCTGTCACTTCTTTTGGGTGACAGTTGATTCGAACTTTGCCCTTCTGTTCAGCTCGTAGAAAATCACTGCTCTCTGTGTGTTTCTGCCCTTTAGTTTGGAAATGTTTGCAATTTAACACATATTTCATTTCACTTGGTTGCTTCTGATGGCCTTTAGTCACCTGTCATGACCCCTTAACCGATTCCCTGAACTCATTTTAGTTAATGTAACATAAATGCTGAATACCTCCAGGTTTAGCAATAGCAATATATTTATATTTGCATTGAAATTGGCGTCAGATGATGGATTCTAAGATTACACTGCTGACGCCGTGGCAACACAAGGATTCATATCAACAATACTTTTGTTGTCATTTTCTTGACCTGAGCAACGTCCAAACCTTTTAAGGTGACTGGTTACAAGTTGTAGCACCGGTGATTTACTTCGTTCTCCAAGCTGTTTAAATGTGGACTTTTAACGTCCCTGTTCCATACAGTACCAAACCCTTCACCTGATGCCTTTATGCACATTATATAAAATATATAAAATCCTGCAAAGTGTCTTCCAGCTGTTTCCCATTTCACCACATTTTCTTCACAAGCCTTATGGTGTAGTTTTTAACTGTGTATTAATGTTCAAAAATGGGTTTTGTGCTTCCCGAGGTTTTTTCAAGCAGTTTTCTCTGGTGTGTAACGAGGCTGTAGATCTCTGCTGACGGCCTTCCCGTCTCATATCTGTAGATGTTACACCTGACACACCAGCATCCAAAAGAAGGAATCTGGTGAGCAGAACTGAAACACAGGGAAATAAATATGAACCGACATGCTAAGAAAAGTCACCGTGTGTATCTAACATGTTGGAAGTACAGGTGAGCCACTGGTGTTAACTGTCGTCCTGACACATATAGCCTCTTTGGATTCTTGTTTCCTTAGTGAAAAGCCTAAATTTACTAACATTTTAAACGCCCACTCGGGTTAGCGGCCAGTATATTTGGAAGAGTGCCACCTGGTGTATAGAAAACAGCAGCACCCTGCGTAGAGTTGTAAGACGCTGACGCTTTGTCAGGACTTGAAAGGTACTAACATATTTAACTGAAGCTAAAGGTAGTGTTACTTTGTTGAGAAGTAAAATTATTGGTTTTAACACCAAGGGAATGTATTAATAGAAAAAGTAAAACTACTTGCCATTTGGAGAACTAACTATTTAAACAAAGTGATATCGCTTCTCTACAGTCATACAGTCCAGTCATGAAAAACAATGCAAAGCCCTGTGAACGTAAACTGTAATGTTAATTTTATTAAACAGTATTAAAGAATCTTAATATTTGTGTAAACCCCACCACCCTCCCGTGTGACATGCACATGTGTACCTGCTGTTTAATCAGTGTCTGTGGTCTGTAATGTTGTTTACTCTGTTTGCGTTGTGTTATAGTTGTCAGTAGCAATGCTGAATAAACTGTGCCATGACTTAGCTGTTGCCTTGTGTGTGTGTGTGTGTGTGTGTGTGTGTGTGTGTGTGTGTGTGTGTGTGTGTGTGTGTGTGTGTGTGTGTGTGTGTGTGTGTGTGTGTGTGTGTGTGTGTTGGGGGGTCTTTTGATCAGCTAGACAGTTGAATGAATTTTTCAAAGTAAAAGCTCAGTTCAACTCAAATACTGCATTTCAGTAAACAAGCTTCTCGTGCTTTTATTTTGTAGGCAAAAATACTGAAGAGGAAGTGATTATGTGAGTAACTGTTGCTGCCGTGACTGAGCTAATACAGCACCGCTCTCAAAGCATTTATTTATTAATATTTTTTGCCGCTATCAAAGCACCACATTCTGACCACGGGCCAGATATTATTGTTGGCGGGCAGTTTTGGCGAGGGTCCATAATCACAGAGAGAATGAATGTGTTTCACTTGTTAATGTTTGTAAAAACTTTATCTAATGTGTGGTTTAAAATGGACTGTGGTGCAGAAACCGTGACTTCTGTCAGTGGCCAAGTCACAATAACACATGGTTTTACTGAACAATTAAGTAAATATAATTTCTTAATAAATATACCTTAAGAAACCTCATTTCTTGACTGGCCACTCTCTGCTGTCTCAGAAGAGACGCCTTTTGTGCTGCGTCAGCCACCGTAGCTGTCGTACGCTCTTTGAAAGGTTAGGGGGCAGTGGTAGACTGGATAGATGGTTGCAGTTCACAACCCTCACCACTAGATGCCACTAAATCTTACATACTGAACCTTTAACAGGGGAGGAGGTCTGCACCACCACTTATCCCCCACTTACAATGCTGTCCTTTCATCTCTCTTTGAGTATATTCAACCAAGTCTAGATGCCTTTGATTTTAACCTTCCTTGGATAATGGGGAAGGATGTGTCTTGAGCTGAGTGATGCCTGTGTGAGGCACATTTTTACTAGGTATGATCAATCTGTGGTTACCAACACCACCGTGATAAATCTCAAGTTATCTTAGAACACTCCTTTACCTCTCACATTAAATAAATTTCAAGCACCGACTTTTTTTCACCTACATAATATTGCTAAAATCAGGAACATCCTGTGTCAAAATGATGCAGAAAAACTAGTCCATGCATTTGTTACTTCTAGGCTGGATTACTGCAATTCCTTATTATCAGGCTGCTCGAAAAAGTCCATTAAGACTCTTCAGCTGATCCAGAATGCTGCAGCTCGTGTTCTGACAGGAACCAGGAAAAGAGATCACATTTCTCCTGTTTTAGCTTCTTTCCATTGGCTACCAGTAAAATCCAGAATAGAATTTAAAATCATTCTTCTTACCTACAAAGCTCTTAATGGTCAGGCACCATCTTATCTTAAAGAGCTCATAGTACCTTACTACCCCACCAGAGCACTGCGCTCCCAGAATGCAGGGTTACTTGTTGAATCCTGATTGGACGGACAGAGCAAACATATTCTGTTACAAACATTTTATTCAAAGTCCTATGGAAGCATTTAATAAAACATCAATGTTTTTATGAAATGCTACTTGCAGTCATGCAAATGGAGACACTTCTCGTAATGCTACAGTTAGTGTTTATCACAATTAACCCCACACTTGGTTAACATTTACCACAGATTTACAAACAGAATAATTCATACAGAATGAGCCTTTTTCCCCTGAATGTAGTTCAAAGAATAGTAAAAGTATTCTGAAACCAGGTCTCGTACACTTGATTCTGGGTGAATATTAGAGTGAGCATTAAGTATCTATGGCATGGGCTTTATTTTACTCATTTTATTGTGATCTGTAAAACTTTGCCTTGTATTTTCAATTTGGTATTTTAATACCAACTATCATATTGTCTTTAATGCAAACAACTTTTTTTAAGTCTTAATCGTACCATGTTGTACCAACAGCAGCTTGACCTCACTAACTATGTAATGTGAAGTGGCCTGGAAAGTCCCACAGACCGTCTACAGCTGGGTGCTGCTGAGGGCTGCTGCCACACGCTCTGTATTCGTGGCTTGGTTTTGGCCCGTTTGCTCCTCTGAGGCGGACTTCTGTCTGTTCTTGGTCAGGTATTTGCTGCAGGAGCAGAAGATGTGGTAGAAAGAGGAGGAGAGGCCGGCAATATCGGTGGAGATGTAGGGAAGAACCTCTGGAGACGCCTGGTTATAGTAACTGATCTAGAAAAAAAAAAAAATACAAAAGTTTCCTAAGAGTGTATGTAAATATACACCTGTGTAATCAGCTGAAATGTTGGTCGTCTTACCAGCGACATGTTGTTTTTGGTCTCCAGTACGGTAAATCCAGCACACACAACCTCTCCTCTGTTATAACCCTCAGTGGGAGGGTGGGTGGGCAGGGACACTGAACGCAGAGCGATGACGTAAGGATCTCTGAGGAAACAAGAACAGACAGTAAATCCAGCCCTTTTGACCTGGAACCCCAGACTCACATAGTGAACGTCTGCGCCGTTGCTGGCTTGTTAATTTGTCGTTTTTGTGCTTCTACTACAGCTTCTGCCTGATTTTGCTGATTTGTTCTGTTTTAATTGTGTTTATTGTTGATATACGATCGGGAGTCTGTAAAGGGTGTTTTATTTTGAAAATTTACTAGATCCTCAATAGGTGCGTTTGACTGTATGTGGCGCAGCACTGACTTAATGTCATGCATGCTGGACTTTAAATAAATAAATAAGGCACGATGGTTAGTAATTGTGTCCGACTTTCGCCAGCGCTGCAAAATGTCACCACGTCACATGACATTAAAACCTCGCGGGAACAAGGAGGCTGCAGTTGCTCTTTCTCCGGCTGCACAAAGTTGGAACCACATTTTCGCCTGCTCCTGCATTGTTCTAAGCTCACAGTAAGCTCACGCAGGTAGAATGTGTCCAACTTGACGGAGCCGTTTTTATTCCCCGCCTGCAGCTCACGTTAGACTATCAAATCGGCGAAAGTCAGCCGCAGTCATCTCGAACGCACCATATGCCATTTCTCTGTCTGACATCCTGCCCAGGTCATTTGCTTTTTAGCTGCTTGACACAGCTTCCATCAAAAGTAGACTCGCTGTGTATTCTCCACGGTGCAGAGCAAAGAGCCACGTGTGGAACATGCTGCAGCACTTCTGTTATGAGCACAATCATTGACTAGAAGGGTCGCGGCTAACTGAGACCTTCCAGTCTGTCATTCTACTGACCCAATGCCGCACGGCTTCCTCCTCGAAGCCAACAAGATGAAGTCCTGGAGAATCCCTTCTTCCTTGCTGGCTTTAGTCGGGGAACCTACTTTACCACGAGGCACTGATGGGGTCACCACACGATACAGGAAGTCGTCATCGTCCACCCGGTGAATCAGCTCACATTTCCTGATTTAGGAAAGGACACAGAGATACTGATCAGGGTGTTGATAGAAATGTAGAAGAGAAGGAATATTGAGCATGTTGCTGTTGTTGGATAGTTCCACCTTTCACTCTGCTTCATCACCTGAAACTTGATCTTTTGTACTGACATCATGTTAGACTGTCCACGTGAAGTGTTTCTGTTTGCCTACACTCGTTTAGCTGCCAGCCAGGAATCAGAGTCCAGACTAAATTAAACAAATCAGGCTAATTGGGCTCAGTTAGTTGTGATCTTTGGATGCAATATTCGTCCCTGACATTTACACGTTGGGCACTTTGCTAGTATTCAGATGTACAACACAAGTGACTTTACGACTTGGTGTAACATTATATCATGGCCAATACAAAAGGCATTTCACGACTGATTTCAAGAAACGTCAGGATTAAAATGTATCAGTAACGTGGTTGTGTATGATCTGTGGGTTTCCTGATTAATGCGTGTGTAATTGGCAGCAAAATTTATCTTTTTTTTTTTATATGAAGGACCTGAATTTGTACTGAGCAGAATCTTTCATGTGGCAACCGGCAGCGCTTGTAGAAGCAGCAGCCGCACACCTCTGTTTCTCTGGCTTTATTGCCGAAACAAGAAGACAGGTTTTTTGGATTAAAGAGCAGCAGACCTTGAGACGATCCACCCGGCCAGATCAACCGGTCCAGGCATCACGGCGGGTGCGATGATCGCTCAGAGGAGAGGAAAGGGAGCCAGGAGAGGAGCCATGTTGGCCCAGCTGCTCCTAAAGGTCCAGTCTGAACAAAATGTGACTCATGTTGGCCAGCCAACGGAAATCAGACTGTTGTGCCCACATCGTTACAGAGACCCGCCCCATCAACATCCCGGATCAAGCACTCAGCGGGTGGTCCGTGTTTCTGAGCTGTCAGCGGATGTTTTACATCGATGATGCTTGGTGCTCGAACACAGTCAAGACGGACTCAGATTGAAACCAGATTATTATCTTGTTGCTGCTGTTAACATTCACCGCAGACGCAGATTTAAAAAATGCACTGCAGAATGTTCAGTGTGTAAACATGTACACACATAAGGTACAAGGTTGTTTATTAGTCATTAAACAGCACAAGGCTGCGTAACGAATAGTAATTTTTAGTTCCTTCATGCTACACACACACAACATGTTATTAAGTGTAGGCCTATATCAAAATATGGTAACATATAAAATAAAACAATACAGTTATTTATATACACTTATACATACACGTGCACACCCCGAACATTCCACAGTGCATTTTATGAATTTGCATCTGGAGTGAATGTAAACAGCAGCAACCGGATGATGATATGGTTTCATCTTAACAATAAACGTTTGAGCACCGAGCATCATTGCTGTGAAACACAGAGTCCACTTTCTCTTATCTTGCCGGAGTCTTGCGCCGACAGCTCAGAACATGGACCACCTGCCGAGTGCTTGATCCGCGATGTTGAGGGGGCAGGTGTGCAGAGACCTGATGGTCAACATGAGTCCCATTTTTTTTTTTTTTCCAGACCGGATCTTCAGGAGCAGAATTATAGACTCTGCTCATTATGGTCTTCATTTTAAAATAATGACTTAAATAATGAGGTGACACGTGTTTTGGCAATAAAGCCGGAAAGTGTAGCGCAGTTTGAAGGAGA